ATTATCATTAACTATAAAATAAAAAACGAATATTACTGTTAAAAAAAAAATTCAAAAAGTTAATTTATATGTGTGGTGGCAATGGGAAGTCTACGGTATCAAAAGTTATATTACCAAATATAATTCTCCCCTCTCTACTCGTAATAGCCGAGTATTAGATCCGTCACTGTTATATCGAAATATTTTTATTACGTGTTTTAAACATAAACGGTTAGATTCCGAATCAGTAAACTAATACATAAAACAATTATTATCGCTTTAAACATATTAGTATACTACATAACTTTATTTATTTAAATGTATTCAAATATTATTTTAAACACACTATATAATGCTATGACACAGCGTTCGACCATAAAAAAAACTGTTCTTGAAATTGTTTACCTTCCCTCAGGTTTTTTTTTTTTACATAGATATACCTACTTATTACAAGTATATAAACGTAACGTGTACCACATGTCCACATGTATCTAAAATATATTATACTTCTCGAAACTCGAGTTTACTACCTACCTAAATTATACATACATACACACATAATAATAATATAAATTAAATCATAGGGATGACGTGCAATAATAATTATTTACGGTACAATGTTACTGCAAACTGCATTATGTATGCATAATAATATGAAATCCTATACATCAATACATCATATTAATGTTACGTTAAATTGGATCCGACAATCAGTCCGTGTTTTAAGTTCGCTTAGACTTTTCTTTCTCGCCTAAATCCTTTACAAAAAAAAAAAAAAAAAAATAATATTTATTGGTACCATTAAAATTCCGATCACTGTACTGAACTCGCGGTCATTCAAAATGTTAAATTTCCTACCTATCGTAACATCGTTTAAAAATGGATCATCGACATATACGTATAATTTGTCCGACGAACTGCAGATTATTAAACTAGACATAGTAATAATAATAATAATAATTGTATTTACATTTTTCAATAGGAAAATAATATTATTAGCGTATTGAATGCCTACAGTAATCGGAGTCCAAGCCACAGAGATAATGTAATTATTATAAAACGGACTTGTATAGTATTATTATTTTTTAATATCATAGTGTATAAAATAATTTTATTTTTCATTTTATTATTTATTATCGTGAGTACATCGGACATTAACACCGCGGCATTAATAATACAATAATATTTCAGTGATCGAATAAAGTAAATTATTTAACAGCCTCGTTTAACCTTATATACATAGGTATTATACTACCTATATCATATTATTATGTATAAGGTGTGGTATGACGTGGTTAATGGTTCGATGTATTAATATTTATAGGAAATTGAATTTTGTTCTTGCGTCCGGATCGATAAATCATTCCGGAATATTTAAAAAAATTATTGAAAAAACGCATACTAGAAATATAAGTAGGTATACTCGTAATTATTAATTATTCAAATTTCCCGGTGGCCTTGTATTTGTCCGAAAAGTGAAAATAGGAGAAAGAGTGAAACGAGAAAGAACAATCGTTTGAAGGGCGAAACCACTAGATAGGTATCAGCTAGGTGAGGAGTATACGGTGTTTTACCATTGAGCGCACGTGGACTACAGACTCCCACGCAGGCACGTGCGCGATATATTTGAAATAAAAATGTGGATTTCTCACCGTTTGTTTTTTTCGCATCAATTTTTTTCTCTCATCCTCAGTGTAGTCTGTTCTCAGAACGAATTCTTTTCCCATGTAATCTCTCTACGCTATGCTGACTTAAATTCAATAGATTTATATCACGATCATATGGGCATAATATACGAGTATAATATAGTCACGACCGGTTAATCCATCATGACGTTTCGATGTCGCTGCAACTACAGTTTACCACTCTCGGTTATCATTATCGTACAAAGGGTGATTTAGTAAGCATACACACTCGATTTTTTTCTTTTAATCGCGCATGTATTTAAATTCTGATTTTTGTAATTTTTAAGAATATTTAAAGACTATATTTTTAAATACTTAGATTTTTTTGAAAATATTTATACCTACCTACGTCTAAATCGATATCCTAATACCTTATCAGTTTATGAATCATTAGACATAATATCATAATAGGAAGATGATAGAAAGTGTACGCGCCTATACTTAATGTTGAAGTATATGACATGTTGTTGACGACGATGAACTTGTACATAAGCTTGCGATTATATTTTATTATCAACATAATATTGTTAAAATTATGTTAAACATTTAAAACAATTAAACACCACAACATTTTGACGCGCGTTTTGACCGAAATTAATTTTTAACAGTCGTTTCTCGTATACTTAAATTATGTTTATTGCATATCTGCAACCAGGGTTTTCAACTATTTTGTCTATTTACGTGTTTTTTATCGTTGGCTGTTGCAATTATGATATTATTTACTAACTATAGTCTATATCGAGAAATTTTTAATTTTGCCGAACTCAACTTTTGGATACTACACTGACGTAGCTGTAAACTAAGCTTTAGTTAAAAGAACAAACGAGTGAATTCTAAAGACATTATACCACTACCGCAATCTCGTTGTCGGATATATTATTTTATTGCAGTATTATTTAATATATGTATATTAAATAATAATAATAATGATGATATATTATACGTTAAGCTTCGCGTTCGTGTGCAACTATATAACTGGTCGCATACTATAATTATTATTGGTTGAAATTATATGAACAATTTCTTCTCGTATATCGCGTGTATCAAATTTATATAATAACTAATAAGCAAGTATACATAATATTATACGCATAAACATATTATAATATATGATATATTTAAAGGCAAATCGTAAGGAGGTACCTACAAACTCACAGCGCGCAATGATACGCGTCGAGAATATAACGTTCATGTGCGTGGAGGTAAGTTTTATTATTGCAATTTGCAATAATATTATTACCGTGTTATAATGAGAGAATATATAGATTAAAACACACGGAATTATATGACGACATTATGATATTCAGCATTTCCCTTTTTGAGAAGCAGTGATTATTATTATGTTGTCCTGTTTGGTATGCCAGCCGGGGGGTCGTTCGCGCATCGAATGTTAATAATAATTGTAAAAAAAAAAAGTTGACGATTTATATGATACATACTTCCCCAACATTTTAATTTTTAATGCTCTCAAAACGAATGCAGTTATACTCTTCTAAATTATAGAAATATACACTGGTTATTATTGCTTTGAACAGTATTGAGACACGAATATTATAAAACGTATAATATTAACTGTATTATTAAATAAAAAAACGTCCTTCGATGTAGGAATTTATGAGATTAAGATAAAAATCTTAAATCACCGTCTTTATTCTTAAATTGATTAAATTTTTAATGTTTTATGTAAACGTATTTTTATTGTCATTGATTTCTCATCGAGTAATATTATATGATCTAAACCGATGCAAACTATCTAATAACTAATCAGCCGAAAATAACGTGCCAATGCAATAAAATTAGATCTCTAAATACATTATAGATTATTATTTACAACTTCCGCGGTGGACTCGTGATATCAAAGTTATACATAATTATACGACTGCAACAACAGCAGTGCGGCAACTCATGGACGATGACGGATGAAACGTTATGGGTGAAAAACCAAAATAAAATCGTGGCCGTAACGTTATAATTATATTATAATACAGTGTGTGTGTCATGTGTATGTGTGTGCGTGAGGTGTGGAATCCTATGGAAATAATAGTATTCACGTAAGCATATAATAATTTAAAAAAAGTGTACACAAGTCCGAAAATGTGTTGTTATATTGTTCGTAACATATACATTAGCACAATTTTATTATTTTACAATTACACCGTAAGCCGCAAAAGACGATGTTTTTGTGTTATCCGGGGGGAGGGGGAGGGGTAGATAAAATGTTAATGCCTTTATATAAATATTGAAATAATGACTTGTTAACACATTTATGTAGAGTTTCTTTTAAGTATTTCACAACTCTTAAAGTGGAGTGATAGAGAATCTTTGAAGTGTACTAATGTTAATATTGTTGGTCAACGCGAGTCCGCAGCGCGTTTACAACCCTCCCCCTCCACCACTAGTACCAATTAGGTATTACGGGCAGCATGGCAATAAATGTTATTTAATATTATAACACTATTGAGAGTAATATGCGCGAGAGGCGATCATTGGAAACGGATGATAAAAAAACTTCACACGTATAAAATTACGAATATACATAATATTATCATCTATATATAGAAAATAAGTCGGCAGCTCGGGCATTAAATAATCCATTAAACGTCCATTATCGATACACAATAATATAATTTATAATTTATAACAATCCGACCGAACGCGCCCCTAACGGAGCTTATACGCATAATACACATACTATACAATATATTCGCAACGTACATACTGGTTTATAGACGACAGACGTAAACATAAATAAATTACTCAGTTTACGCGCATCCGTTAATATATAATATTATATGATCCGTTTTTCATTAGAGCAACAATATTATGTAAAAAAAATATAAAGCGTCTGCGAAAGAATGTTATGCGCTCGACTTCTGCGACCGCCGAGAATACATATAATTAATATAAATAACTATAAAACGCTATACTACATTAAATTATCATAAACGGCGCGCGTGAATACGATTATATTATAATATATGATTGTCTACCACATAACGTCACTCGAGATTGAGCGAAAATACTGCGATATTTATGTAAGGTCGTGTCGCGTCGGGCGTACAATCCGTACGGGAACGATTGATAATATTCTCGTGCGGTACGCTCGCTCGGCGGACGATTTTTCGCCGACCTCTGTGAAGTGATTGAATTTTATTTTGGTTTTCGACTCGAGTCATTATTGTGTCGGTCAATGGGTACGTGGATCGACCTGTCTCTATAACATAATAATATACTATTATCGTCACGATAATCACCTAACCTAACCGGCGTGCGCTGGTCTAGGCAAAACGATTGCGTTTAAGTGCGTTTAACGTTAAACCGGAACTCTGTCAACAGGTGCGATGATGACCGGGAAGCGATGACATGGAAGCTGCAGCCAGCGTTGTACAGATGACTGGTGGCGGCGGACGGGTGGGGATGAACACGGACATGTTCCTGTTGCCGTCCTCTTTCTCGTCGCCGCCGGGCGTGATCGTCACCACGGGATCGCCGAACACTGGCGTCCACCAGTACGCCGCTGCCACGCTCACCTTGTTGCGGCGCGACGCCTGGGTGCTACCGGTGCTCATACTGTCAGTGCTCACCATGACGTTGATCATGACTTTCGAGGTGACTATAATAATATTGTTGTATTTGGTATTCCTTATACAGTGGAACCTCGATAATTCGAATCGGTTGGGAGCGAAAAAAAATTCGACTTACAGAGGTTACACATATGATATGTTATAAAGTAGGGGCCGAGACATTCTTTCGAGTTATCGAAAATTCGACTTATAGAAGTTCGAGTTAGCGAGGTTCCACTGTAATATATAATATTACGATGATAAGACGTCGCACACGAGTCCTGCCGTCGGGTCCTGTGTCCCCGAGAGTTGGGGGAATACGGACCGGAGATAATATTCGAATGGAAGTCACGCGCGCGTGCAGGATGTCGAGAAATCTCTGAAGAAAAAATGTCTGTCGACTGTTATCCTTATTCGGATTTATCCATCGATTTTCCAAACGAGAAATGTGTAAAGGTACACCGATCATCGTTCGGTTAGAAACTGATATATACGCGTGTTATAACAATAATATGCAGATGACGGTCGCCACCTAAAATAGTCGGTAACTGTGCGGAAACGAGAGTTCAATGCTACAAATATGCCGTACAATAATAAAGTAGAACGATGATAACTTTTGTGCAGGGCTTGCATTTGAAAAAAAAATTTGTTATTCGTTATTTACAATTAAAACGTTATACAAATGTTGAGTTTATCGTTATTCAGAATTTAAACGTTATTCAACTTTTGCGTTTATCGTTATTCAGAATTCAAATTTTTATTATATTTTATAATTGAAATTATTTTTTTTTTTTTTTTTTTAATGATAGGTATATTATATATAACGTTTTGTGTTATGTTTGGTTTGATGATATATCATACATTTTGTTAATCGTTATGTTTTGTTTTGTGTTATTTAATTACTTATGTTTATCGTTTTCCGTTATAATTACGTTTACAAATTTCAATAATTTTTTGTCAAATATAACGTTATTATAACGTTTGCAAGCCCTGCAGTTTTGTGCAAATAAATATTTAGAATTGAATAATTATAAAATATAATTATTAAAAACTATACGCGACTGCTCAAAACGCGTAATCCACAATAGCAATAAACATTTTTTAATTTATTCATAACCAATAACCATATTATGGTATAGTGTTTAAATGTTTTGTTTAAACGCATTCAGTGTTGTAACAACGCATATGAATAAGGAGAAATGTCCGCGTTAATGAATAACTACGATTTGGTAGTCAAATAGCATAGTTTTTAAACTTAAAACGAGAACACCACATTTTCCGTAATTTATGGATAATACAATAGTTTTGGGTAGGACAAACTTGCGGGAACAGTATAATAACATTAATAACAGTAGCCTTAACAAATTTTTACCATATAATTATCTGGAAGTAATTGATATATGTCGTAGCGTTTTATTTATAGTTTTTTTGATAACTTAAAGACAGTTTAAATTATTTATTTGTACAGACTATTATTCTTTTTTTTTTTAATTTGCTTGATAAAAATTATTGAATATTGATATGAAAAAAATAAAAACGTCACGACACAAATAAAATTCCTTTGTATGTAGTGCACACAATATTTTTATTTAAAATATACTGTAAATAATGTACTCGTTACAGTTTGTTCTACTCTAAATCGTCTTTCTATATTATGATCTTCTATTGTTATGCAAAAAAAAAAAAAAACATTGCTGGTAGGTATTGACACGGGACCGCTTTTATTTTTAGAAATTTAAAAAAAGGTTTCAAATATACGAATATCTTAAACGTTTTATTCCTTCAAAAAATTTCACTAAAATTGCCTGTACACAGTACATAAATATTTGACCCTTAATTGGTGGCTCCCGAGTTTGGCGTTCTCTCGACTTGTACAAAACATCCCTTCGCACCGCAAATATCTTATCGACATCAACTTTCCGTTCCGTCGAGTGTCGTCTTTAACGCCCGTCAATGTGCGTAATATATACCTGCAGACACGAGCTCGGCGTTCGAAGTCGGATGTCGCGGATTGGCGTGGGAGTGTAGAACGTCGAAGATCAAAAGAAAAATGCATGTTCCCGCCCGAGCCCAAAATATCGCACACAACGATATCAGCTCTGCGATATTGTTTTTAATGTTGTCGTCGTTCGATCTCGGGACGGGACGACGTCTTATTGTTATTGTTATTATTGTTATTGTTGTCATATGTTATTCGCACGCATTATTATTATTATTGTTGTTGACTCTTGAATACGCATAAGACTGACGCGACGGCGGACGTTCCGTTGCAGGTGTTCGTGCTGTGCAAGACGAGAAAAACGGAGCCCAGCAGGAGACACCTGTTCCTGGGACAGGCGCTGCTGGGCGGGCTGTTCGTGTGCGCGGCGGTCAGCGGGCTGATGTGCACGCAGCCGACCGTGCTGACGTGCGCCACCGTCAGGCTGTGCACCGGGCTCGGATACTCGATGGTGTTCGGCACGCTGCTCGTCAAGTGCGTGTTCCTCATCAGCCTCAACGGCGGAGTGTACTTGCCCGCGCCGTATCAGGCGCTCTTGCTGTTCTTCACCGTGGCCATACAGCTGGCCATCGGCGTCCAGTGGCTCATCTACACGCCACCGCAACTCCTATCGTCCCAGGTAAGTCGACGTCGTGTCAACGTTGCCGAAGAGTTGAATTATTGAAAGCCTGACGACCGTAATTTTTTTTTTTTTTTTGGGGGGGGACACCATTCGTTTGGGCAAAACGTTTCGAATTTACCATCACCCCGAATAGAGCATATCGTATTATTATTTGTTATTTGGGCGGCAAAGTAAATGCCGATCGTTTGAGCGAACTCATAAATTAATGAACAATAATGTATAGTCAGCAGTGCAGTGAAAACAAGTGCGTATGCCGTGTGTGCTAGTCGTGATCTTTTAAATACTTATAACAGTTATAACTATACGTGTAACTGAAGTGTACGTTGCGAGGGTAACAAAAATAACATGTCTATCAAAAATGTTTTTAATATTTACTACATATTTTTAACCATACCAATTAAAATTAAACCTAAAAATTGCAAAGAAAACGTATAAATGTCGATATATTGTCCATTTAAATTTCACCGAAATTATGTATATAAGCTATGTATAAATTCGTTCAAACAATATGTAATTGTAGGTTTTTCGCTCAATTGAAAGCCGTCTTCATCACTCTGAGCATTGTTAAGGTCGTTCATCTATAATGATATATCATGCGTAGGAGGAGGAGAGAGATGTTTAAGACTGAAGTTTAATGTGCAATATAGTAGGTATAATTATCTTACGAATTTGTGTTTGGCTTGTAAAATGTAAATAAATAACAATTAATGATTATTATATATGATATATTTTATGTAAAATTAACAGCAAGCCGGAAACATGTATTTTTTATTTGCATGGGCCTATAACTAGTTTTAATAGAATAGTTTATAATCGGTAGATAATATTTTTTTCACATAATTCACGCGGAAGTGCCGTCATTATAAATGGTTTTCTCCCAAGTGAGTTACCAGCAAGCCCTTTACACATGACGTATACCGCTTATGTGTCTCTTAAGCTCATAAAACTACCTACACATGCACTAAGTGTATAATTATATAGACATAAAAAATGTATTATATCGAGCTAAAAATAATTAAAAATGAATTGACATAATTATTCTAAGCCCAATTAATAACATATTAATCATCCATATTACTTTAGTAGGTTGGGAAATTAAGTACTAAAACTGACATAAAAAGGTACTTAAAATAATATAAATTGAAAAGTTGATAAAAATGTTAAGTGGCAGATAATTAATTTAGTATTTTAAAGCTATAAATTAATAATCAAATAATTCTTCTTTACATGCCTGTGAATAATTTTAAAAACAAGTTGCACATCATTATTTACTATTTTCAATATTATCAACGTTTGTTTTTATTCGGATTTACCCAAGAAGAAAAATCATTAATAAAGTTCAAATGTTAATGCAGAACAAATTATTCTAATGGTATATTACTATTGCCTCAAGAAACAATAATTATTTTTTTAAATAATATTAAAATATAGGTAATGTAGCATAACAGTGGTTTATGCCTCCTTCTTCCGGTACACCCAAATTGGAAAACATTTTAATATTTCATTTTACCATTCGTTTCAAGCGATAATTAAAATGTAATACTTAGTATTCAATATCCCAATACAATTAAACATCATAATAGTATAATATAAATCCTAAATTTTAATAGTCATTTGTTTAAGCACCTATTATATTATATTTAACACGCAGGCACTATGCGTTAATAATAATACTGAATTATTATTTTTATTTTGCATTTTTGTTATTTGTTATGATTACAATCCATAATAAATTATATATGTTTATCGACGATAATAAATTATCATGAAAATAGTGTTGGGCATTCCGAGGACGTGTAAATAATTTATTTTGACTTCTCTTTCTCGTCTACTGTTAGGTTAGTACATCGTCTAACGATTTAATTACAAACCTATAGATTATTTGTTTTTCTTCAACGGCCTATCCGATCTGAAGCATAAAATAATAACATAATATGTTCTAATTATTTGTACGTCGTATTCTATATCATAATATTGTATAGGTATTATACTCGCTTATCTCATTATTTCATATTTTAAATATTATATATCTGATGCGATATACATATCAGGTGTTAAAAATAATTGGAATCACATAACTATTACTGTACACGCATAATATTGTAATACATACGTAGAGCAATAACGTAAAATATTTCATAAGCCGATTAATAACCATATCATAAAACATTATCGTTTATCAGTTCCAATAATTAGTCTAACGACCGTTTTAAAACTTTTCGAACACTCCGTATCCAAGCCTGTAGGTAGGCGTCAATTCAAATAAATAACTAATTTAAATACTGTAAACGGGTGTAAAAACGTCGATTGCAAAAAAGCGGTAATCGCTAGACTTGAATACCTACTTAAAAAAAACAAAAACACAAAAAACATGTGTTCGACGTTTTTGATAAGCTCAAAGGCGAAGCGATGCGAATAACACCGTACCTACTAAAAAATCGTAATAAAAATGAAATGAAAAAGCCTGTGCTGACGACCCGTTTACCGCACTTGTTTCAGTGGACGAGCAGCCTGGACAACAGCTGTGATACCAAGTACCAGCACATGCTCGGCTCGCTGGTGTACGCGGCCGGTCTGCTGTTGGCCGTCACCGTGTTGGCCATCAAGTCGCGGCACATACGGGACAACTACCGCGAGGCCATGTACATCGGACTGGCCGTCGGCTGCACGGCGCCGCTGTGCGTCGGCTGGGCCGTGGCCGGTCTGTGGGCCACGCAGCCGGGCGACCAGGACGGATGCCTGGCGCTGGGCCTGGGCGCCACGGCCGCGCTGGTGTTGCTCGTCATGTTCATGCCCAAGGGCCGGCAGCTGGCCGCCATGGGCCGGGACGGTCTGTACGACGAGGACAAGCTCAGCACGCTCAGCAGGCCCGCGTCCCCGTCGTTTTTCCACTTCAAACCGTTCATGACGCCAATGAAGCACACGTCGACGATCAACACGTTCGGAGGTAAGCCGCATTGGGTATCACGTCATAACACTATAATGTGTTGCCGTATGCTGTAAGATAAGACGTGTTTAGATATTAAAATATGATATTAGGTATACGTTATAAGTAGAGCACGGATTTTTATGCGCTAAAAATTATCGAAATATACCGTATAAAATGCAGTAAAAACCATGAAATAATGCAACAAATATGCGAGTAAATTATTTTTATTTATTTAAAATACAACTTATAAAAATTAATTACTTGTATACTTAGTGAAAAAACTTTGGTTTAATGTGCAATACATTTCAAATAAATTTTATAGAAATATGCAAAAAAATATTACCATTAGATTCAAATCATTGACAGCAATCCAAAAATATGAAAAGGAAAAAAAATATGCGATAGCATAGAAATCCGCGCTCTATAGTTATAAGTACGCCAACGCTCCGAATCCCTATGAAGTCAAGTCCACTAGAGTCCCCCTCCCCCAATAATATTGATCACTTAAGAAATAAAAAAATCTATTCATTTTCAAAGATTTGAATGATATAACTTTGGCGTACCTGTACGAGATAAACTGCCATTTGCTGGATGTTGAAAAAGTGAAATACTATAGACTGACTGCCCCGAGGTTTTAGCGACCCAAACGCATTTCTTGTGGACGGTTTTGTTTTTCCCGAGCTTCTGTCGTCGACGTCAATAGGACGATGTTTGTTTAGCCGCGCACCTGCAGCTGCATCATGACACATATTATGCTCTATGGTGCAGTCGAACTTGAGGCAATACTTTTTTCCTCTAATCTGTTTTTAACGATTCCGTACATCGCTGCTATTGTACACACTCATACGTACGCGTGTAATATAATACCGCATTCCGCTGGGTCTAACGTAGTTTATTATATGTACATAATAATAATAATAATAATAATAATAATGATAATAACATACGACTGAAACACTTATGGCTGTAGCGTAACTAAAAAAAAATAAAAACCATGTACGCGGCACATTTTCCAAAGACATGATAATATAATATTCGTGGACAGACCGATTTCAAAACGTACGACGATCTCTGCTTACGTATATGTAAACCTTTTCCACCCGCGCATTATAGGTACATTTTAAGAACAACATAATATACGATCGGGAAGTCATAACTAGTACTACGTTGTTATGTCGGACGAGTTGTTGCGACGCTGCCCCCAACCATTGATAAAATGACGCTCCACTTTCGAACTGAAAACTAAAAATTTAGACTAAACTCGCGTTTCTAGTTTAGGTGTATTTTTTTTTTTTATTTTTTTTTCATGTAGTTCCTAAGATGATTGCTTCACGTAAACCATTTTAATTCACAGTTAAATATGGATGTGCATTTTTGTTTGTTACTTAAATAACCTCATATTATAATAGCATATAATGTATTGTTTGTATATTGTTAAAGAGTAGCATCGAGAGAATTTAAAAGCCATGTGCTCGGAAAAGGACGGGAATAATGGTGTACAATATGTACATGATGAATAATGTGCACATAAAAATTATTTCAAAAATGTTAATCTTGCCATCGTGTAATTTAAATTGTTGTGATGGTAAGAGTGTTGTGCTTATTTCAAAATTTGGCTTGAAAATCCACGTTGGTAACGTACTAAGTATTCACAAAGAGAAAAAATTCGAATATTCTAATTTTTAATATCGAAGGTCTTGGCAAGACTTGTTGCTGGGGGCCTCTTTGTATTGTTTGCTGTAATGTGCAATATGTGCATCATACATTCATTTTTCCAACAATTTTTTTTTACGTTTCGTAAACATTCTAAATCATAATCACTTCTTTCTAGTTGTTGATGTAGCTGCTATGAATTTTGGGAATAGAGATATTAAACCTAATTATACTGAATAAAATATATATTTATATCTAACTAATTATTATATAATTCGTATTCATAAGAAGTAGATAGGCAAAGAAAAAGTACACCGCAGGGAATGAATTTTGTTTAAAGAAAGTAAAATACATCTATTAAATTCTAACCAAATAAAATTAAATGACTATTAAAATATATAATATTCGGAATAGTAATGAAATCATTAAGATCAACAATTATTATCACCATTAACATATTGTATTTATTTGAATCATTAAAATACCTAAGGATTATAAGGTGGATACAAACAACAATAAGTCTTTTCGTTTGCGATAAAAATGTTAAAAATGTTCTCATCACGTCACTCAGTACTTGAAAACGTTTGAAATAAAATAAGGAATATTATTTTTCGTCTATAACGGTATTGCGCAGTTTTCACACATCTACATTAGGTATTACAATCGAATAAACACGCGTTTATCGTATTAGCCGCGTGTGAGAGACGAACGGAATATTAAATCATTTTATACCGTACTGACGAAGGTGTTTCCATATCTTACTGTAATAATACTAATAATAATACATATTTTAAATTGAAGACAAAAGTGTAAAGCGCTGTATAGAATATGCCATTGACTTTGCCACTTAAATTCAGCATCATATAATAGTTATACTGGCGTCTACTGCTAGGAGTGATTTGAAAAGGAGACCAAAAGACAAAAACAACAATTACCGTACCTAGCATCGTCGGAAATTCGGATATGCGAGTTAAGCATTAGGTATATTATTGTTCAAAACAAACGTGTTCGTTCTGGAATCACTGTATCGTATACGAGTACTCAGTGGTTCGGTATGTTTACGATTTACTGAAGCGTACACCCTCATTAACACGCGTACTATACTTACTCAGTAAACACCGACGACAAACGTGATAAATTCTTTTAAAAATATAGTAACGCGGCCATTATCACAATATTTATAATACATGTATTATACAATATATTAACAGCATAGATACCCGTGGGAAATTTATCAGCGAGGAGAATAACAAAATCAAACACCAAAAAGTTCATTAAAAAATCAATGCTTGAGTCAAAATATCAACGAATTGGCTACTTAAACAGTAATAAAAGTTGAGGTTTTCAAAATTTCAAAATAGTATTTGAAATCTGGGGAGGGGGGACAATGCCCCATCTTACTCGCTCAGATCACCCATGAATAACAGCGTGTAACCGACTGGAGCTGTCAAGCTGTCGGGATCCACATTATACGTATTTTCGGTTTTATTCTTCTACATATATGACTTCATACCGGCCTCGGTCAAGCCGGTTCGACATTTATTTATTTTTAAATATCACATTTAGGTACTCAATATTCCTAAACTTAACGCTCAAAGCGAACCTAAAATCAATCTATAAAAGTCAATTGTATATAATTCGTCGAAGGAATATCGCAGGAATTTTAATGTAATAACATATTTACTGGGTATGATAATTTAATAGGTACCTATAATATGGTATAATATAATATTTAATTAACGTACGTTATTGATCTATCTACATTATAGGTGTCTTCAACTGACGCAGGTATTCAATTACCAAAATATAAATTCTGTTGTATAGATTGGTAAATACGGCTATTAGGTGCCCTATCTATATTTAATTTTTTGTTAGATTTGAATTAAAAAAAAAAAAAAAATAAAACCACTTAATTATGTTCATAAATTCGTAAACAGTAATCAAATACACGTTGTAAGCCGGTATAGGTGTCACCTATTTACATGATATATTGTAGATAATTTGTAGGTATGCCATTATATAGTATTACCATTATTACCAATAAGACATTAACGCGTTATAAATATTAAATTATAATTTACACCTAACCACAAAATTATGTCAGATAGTTTATACACATATATATACGTGTTCCTCACGGTTATTAGAACACAAATTGATGTATCGCCACGTCTTTTCATATGCCTGTGTATTACACAAGACCTTTCGATAACGCCATAAATTATTATTACTTAAAGGTTATCGTAATTAAACTATTATTTTCGCGTTGACATTATACCACTACCACCTATAGGACTATACTTATTATGCGCACGACTTTGATCCAGATATCAGATCAAATACTCTCATTTTATGTCAGATAAATGCGTAGACTATGAAACGGAGTAAAAGGAAATTAGTGAAAATATGCATAATACGAATAAGTACTCTAGATAACGATTTCTCTAAAATTAAAAATACAGCTTGCCTGCCACCTATCTGATACCTATTATATTATAATTTATAACAATTAGCATTTCACGAAAACGGATATAAGCAGATACGTGAAAATCGTATGTTTCAGTGTGTAATTATAACATTACGCAGGACTTATTCGTAATTATAAATTACAATATAATAATAATAATAATAATGCAAGCCCGAGGCATGCACTAGACGTAGGTATAACGACGGTAATTTAAATTTCTTCAACTATCTTGTCTGCATAATGTAATATAATAAATAATAATAATAATAATAACATAATCCGTTTCGTTTGTTTTATAGATCGAGTGGCGCTCGTAGCCCCGCCGACGTACGCTCACCATTATTACCCGTACTGCTATTATCCGCACCACGGTGGCGGCGGTGGTGGTGGTGGAATGATGGGTGGCGGTGGAGGCGGCCACCACGGAAGTCACATGCAGCAGCCCATCTACTCAAGATGTCCACCCGGTATAAACATATAATATTTCTATATACCTACGATTTAACTGTTCTGCGTATACCTCCTAATTCCTATAACTTCGTTTTGTAGACTTAACTAGGTATGTATAGGGTAGCGAGTCTTGATATTCCTGTCACTGCGTCAGTCCGGCACCTTCGGTAATCCGGAAAAATTTCACCACATCCAGCCATAATAATTTTATTTTTGGATTATTGCTTTAACAATTCACTGAATTCAAATCTTTCGATAACATTGTTGGACCAAAAATTACAAAGCTGCTGACGATATTAATTATACATCTATACAGTTAAAACGCATAATACATTTTAAGTGCAGTTGAAAGAAATTGTTCTTAATTTTTACCCGATTTTTGCTTAAATGTCTTGGTTTTTTTTAATAATCTGTCAGTATTATGCTTTCATAGTATGTATCAAATCAACTATAGACTATACTGTATGTATATGTAATATGTATATGTATAGGTCTCTTTAATATAAACTACGAATATTAATTACCTATCAATACGTTTTTAGTTTTATCGTTATTTTTCATATACATTTGCAGTTTTTACACCTAAACTACGTTTATGCGTCTAAACCAATATTTAAACAACTTTTGTTTTTTCTTAACACTTTTTTTAGATTTTCAAAAATCTCACGTCGCTTCTAATTCCCGGTAAATTTACAATGATTATAGTTAAATTTTTATAATCAGCAATTTAATTCAAGTAAAAAACAAAACTCTACTTACAATTTTTATTTTTAAACACTAAATTCTTATATAGTGTGTGTACACATTTTAGTATTTTATGCATTTATATAGTTCTGTATATTACTTATGGTACATTATTCTGAGCTTTTTTTGATTGTAAGCAGTTATCATTGCAATAAGTTACGAACAATAAAAATGAAAGTCACAGTAGAATTACCTCCTAAAAATGAAAAAAAAGCCCACAAGAGGCAGTATCACGGCCCACGTTGAGAATCAGTGTTCTTAACAATGTGACATCGTGTAATGTGAATAAAATATTAATCGTATATTATTCTTTTTGCGTTTTCAGACATGTGCAACTTTTCGGGAATGGACAACAGCATTTACACTACGATGGAGCCGACCATGTCCAACAACCCCAACGTGTTTTTCCACCGTTCCGGTATCCACCCCGGAATGATGTACTGATTATTGTTTAAGTTAATACTATATATATACATATATATATATTTGACTAGATGTTTTTTTCTCCCGATTTTATAAATTTTTTTTTTTTAAATATATTATTATTAATATTGTTTATGAAATATTACATATAGGTATTATTATTATAAAATATATTTATAGTAGTCGCGTAAACGTATACCTGTGTACATATAGATATGTGTGGTAAGCTATATATACATATATATATATATATAGACATAGCGCCCTACGTGTCCTACACGTACAAAACAGTATACGTAACAGTTTTATAGTAATACCTACCTGTACTATTATATTAATATTATTTTATGATATCTATTCACTAAACTATTTTTAGACTCGCGAGACCGCATCGAGTGGTGGGCGATAGACGAGCCGGGCGCGTGTCACGATGATCTCACGCAATGATAATAATAATTATTATGTAATCATTGTTCGTCTATACGATCGCCGACGACGTCGCATAGTATACCTCCCTATATATCCTCCATCTTCTATTCGACTTCTTCGCCCACATGGCCTATAAAGTTATAATACAATCGTTTAAATACCGATACTATATATTACGCGAAATTTCAAAATCTCGCGTTTGTCACTCTGCAAATCGCCGCGGCGGCAAACGATTATAATAAGGTAAAAATTAGACGAATTCCATAAAAAAAAAAACACACACATACATATAGGTACTATACCGGGAAAATATATAGGTATGTCGTTTACCTGTGTACGCAGTATAATATATAGTATATATTTGCCCATACTTACAGTGACGCTGTGTAGTTCGCCGTTCCGACGAAATTCGATGCCATTTTCAATCACGACGATGATATCGTTCAAGATAAAATAAAATAGGTTTTTTTTTATGATTTTTACATTTTTTAGATTTAATAACTATGACGATTATTCGTATACTAGATATAATATTAACACATAATACTGGACAAATCTGTGTCTAATGTATGAATTTTAGTAAATATTATTATATTCTGTAAGCAATTATCTATAAGAGCTATACATACATACATACATTCATATATATATATATATATATATATTATATATATATATATATATATATATATATATAGCTGTTGCGCGACAATAACACATATACTTAATATTATAATATGCATATTGTTGATATTATTATTAATATTTGTTTGTGTGTAGATTAGAAATATACCATCGGTTAGATTCGGTTTTTAATAGATGTATAGTTGATATTTCGTTTTATTATCAACGTGTTTAAAATATTTAATGTAGAGCCAATATTTAGCTTTCTTATGTTTTGATTTATTTTTTTGATTATGAAATAAAAATTATTTTTTAAGACCAACTTCAGTGTGCCAAAAGATGCGCTTTCGTGTACAATCGCATTATTTTATATTATAGTTTGAGCTATTTTATTTTGATAAATGATAACAACATGTAAATATGTTTTTTTTTTTGGAACTACATATCCATATAAGTAGTAAAATAACGTGTTTATTCGTTCAATATATACAAATATTTTATTTTCATAATTATATACAACGGATTACTATATATCCTACCGACCTCAAAAGATGATTGTTTTTTTTTTTCACATTAATTCAATTAAGTATATTAAATGACTATTGTATCTTATAATTTTGTAGTGATAATTTGGTAACGATTACCATTAAAAATGCGTACAAAATTTAGAGTTGCTAAGTGTAAGAAATTATTGCTTAAAGCGATATTTAACATTACTTAGATAATATTATATATGTATACGATTTAATTTGTACATTTAACTTTTTTACTTCTCTATACTCTACAGTGTATTATTATAATATTAAGTATTGTATTGATAAATTATTGCTCATTTAAGATATAAGAACACTAAATTCCTTAGAAATAAGTAATTTTTGTACTTTTTTTATAGTTGTAACTCAATATGCAATAAACAGTACAACGTTTAAAGAATAATTAATTATGAATTCGATGTTTAATCCATCTTTTTAATAATGCTATATTACGTAAAGAAACTTAAAAAGTTTGCTCGTTGGTCTGACCTAACATTTTAGATTATACCATTTAGGATTTAGGTGATAAAAAAGTACCAAACAGAACGAACCATTCACACATTCTGATAAAATGACCATCTAGTGTAATGGGTAATAGAATCGTAATAATTATATAAGTACCCTTCTGCTAGCTACTAAGTACAATGCATACATTGTTTTTATTATTTTAGGCAAAGATAATATTTTCCAAAAAAGTTATAGCGAAAATAAAATTAAAAACACAACATTTTGTTACAATTTAATTTATATATTTACTATGTACATATAATTTATATTATCAATATATTTGTTCATAAGAAATAAAGTAATTGTTTCACAAATCTTATCAATAAAAACTTATTTGATACATTTTATTTTGATATCCAGTCTCGTTTACCATTATCATTAAAATTAAGTTTTCGAACAATTTGTCTTTGAACTTATTTTTATAAATTATAATACATAATGTAAAAATTAAAAATTGCTTGTACCAAAACTAGTATGAATTAGACATTTATATTGCTAAACAAACAAAGTACATCAACAATTAAATAATCTATTGCTATAAAATATATCTCATGAAATTTTGAAAAAAAAAAATAAGTATAATAAATTAAATTTCTTAATTGTACATTGCACAGATTTGTTTTTACATCAGAATAAGCCATCACAACAACATTATAGCCTCGATAAAACCCACAGTTATTGTATAAACGATAAAAAAATATGTGTACGACACACGGATATGTCAAATTTTACACAATTACTACCTACCTATACAATATGCATATAGGAATTCGGTTAATGAAAAATCCGCGTGTCGCCAAACTTGTCAAGGTATTTTGTCGGCCGTCGTGTAACAGTGTTTGTTCGATTTTAGATAGGTGTTTTCGTGTTGTACGCTCTGAGAACTCGTTCGACATTTGGCCAAACAAAGTTCAAAATGATTATTGATCGCCGAAAACAGCACTCGGAACGTTTCCGAAGCTTTACCCAGAACGGTTTGCAATAGTTTTCTCTGTGAACGGATGCACAAAAATGAATTCGTCAATTATTTACACCATATTATATTATTATATTATGAGTAAGTATGAAATTGACAATACGAGTATTTGCAGTGATTGGCAGGACTAACCTTATTGGGATTGAGACAACAGGACACGCAGTGTTCGTACAGCACACAACAGCCGTCCGCGTTACACGTATTACATACGTAACGTTTTTCGGTAGTCCCGCAGCAGTTGTTCGCTAGAAGATCGTCTCTTAGACATATGTAACCTGTAATTGTTGAAATATATTTTATTATAGTATACAAAAATTATACATAAATTGCCAGAGTTGGATATGCTGCATTGCTACATGAATATATTATTTTCAATTATTCGAATAGTTTATAGTTAATTGAAAACGCGTGTGAAACAACAACGATTTTAGTTTATTTTTAAATTGGTTCGATATGACAGTGGTAAATTATGCAAGTAATACATCTTTTTTTACTAAAAACCTATCCACATGACTAGACATTAGACAGATCTTTCAAACAAATTTGTGTGTAATTAAGAAAACAAGTTATTGATTTAAAGTAATTTAATAATTAATATTTTCATCGATAGTTATATTGTAAACAAATTAAGTCAAATAACTATAAAATGGAGAAACCTATACAGCTGTTATAAACAGAAACAAATAAGTACAATTTATATGATATCTAATAACAAGTGATGTATGATTTTGAATTTAAATTTTAAAAATATTAAACATTTTTGTTTATCTAAATAATTTAATTATTCCTATTTATATTCGTGTACCTACAAATAATATATATTTTCTTAAATATCTTAATCCTTCATCAAATTACAAGCTACTTAATATTTATTTATAAACATTTAATGAAAGCATAAATCATCTGCATTAGGTTATAAATTATTTATTAGTTATTATGACCTAACATGTATTATGCAGTAGTATATTATAATCTATTGAAATGGATTACACATTGAATATTAATTATTAAAATTAGTTGTGTTATCTCACATTTAACATAGGTACCTACATTATTTTCACATGATATGTTTAGCTGAAAATTAAAATTTTAATTATGTTTTTTACACTGAAATAAAAAAAGATAAAATAATATAAATTAATAATTGAAATATTAATGCATTTATGGCAGAAGATTAATTTCAATATCTAAGTTATTATCTATACTTCTTTTTAAATTATTAGTAAGTGCGTAGTAGTTGTATGTTGAAGATGTCTTATTAATTTTAAAATTATACTAACAATTTATGTCAGAATGTATACTATGCACCTTATTGTTTAAAACTTAATGAGAAAATTAATAATTTAAAAAAATCATAAACAAAAATATAAAAATAATAATTACAATTTTTTTAATATAATATTGATACAGATACTTACCAAGTGGTAATTAGAAGGTATGATTATTTTAATTTATTATATGAATAAATCAAATATAATCGTATATGAATTTATATAACTATTATTGTACAAGGTGATTCACCAAGTGTATTCACCCTTTTTCATTTCTTTAGTAATAAATTTATTTAAATTCTGGTTTTTTAAATTTTTCAATATACCTACTTCAAAACTATATTTTAAAGTTTTTATATTTTTGTACTACTTAGTACTTAATAAGTGTCTTTTGATAGTATAAACTTTTGTTTTTAAATTGTGAACCCTGTTTTTTTAATTATTTAGTTGATTAATTTTTGAAAATTTTGTTGTACTTTATTTAAAATTTGGATGAGTAGATTTTCAGTTATAAAAATATTTATATTGAGGATAATAATCCTTAAAAATGGTTTTACAAACATATACAAATAATGTCATTGTAATAAATTATTATACTTGGACCATTTTTATAAATTATTAATGTTGGTTCATTAATAACAATTACTAAAATATTCAAATTAACATAGCCCAATACCTTCTAAACCCATTATTATGGTATCTGTAATACACAAATTTAAATAACTTAAAAAATCTTTTTCAAATTATCAGAAAATCTATCTGCTACATAATTTACAGCAAAAAAAAAAGGAGACCTTTTATTCGAAAAAAAAAGTTTGTATCTCCACATAATACTTTTTAAATAGTAAAGAAATCTTATGAATTTGAAAATATGATCGTTTAATATATTTTGAAAATCTTAAAAATCAGATGTATGATAACTGTCATTATTTAAGGAGAAAAATGGGATGAAAATATTTCGATAAAGAGTATTAATACTTTTCAATAAATTGTATAAATAATTAAAAAATGAATTTCATGTTAAAAAAATTGCAACATTATGCTTCATTCAAATTAATCATACAATATGTTACTTATTTACTTATAAAATTCATAACATTTTAAAATAAAAATTATTTTTATCTTTAAGATTTTGAATTCAACTACAATATGTAACTAAAGATATTTCTAAACAAATATAATATAACTTATAAAAATAAATAAATTTTTAAGCTATACTAATTCCTAGTATAATATTTTAACTAAATTATGTAGTAACAGTAAGTTTCATATCATCAAAATTGTAATTAACACATTCGTATGATATAATGCAGAAAATAGTTATTAAATTATAAAAAAATATTAGAAGTATCTAATAAATGAATAATATTAATTCAAACATAAATTTACTTATACAATATTTATTTAAATATAGTTATAACTTGCATATGTATGATAGCACAAGTTCAACAATTTCATATTCAATAAGATAGTAAATTTGTATTGCGTTTAACCAAAGGTTATATAGCATTACTAATTTGAAAAGATTATTTTTTTTAAGTAATTGACAAATTACCGTGCTATATTAGAAGTATTCACTAAAATGTCATTCGAGTATAACTGCAAAAGTAATAAGTACCTCTGTCATCTGCTATATATTCTCTGCCTTGTACAGTATTTCGACATCTTAGATCTATTGAATTGTTCAAATCGACTTCGGCTGACATCCAAACAAATGCACTGTGATCCAATTTTCTTGGAACACGCCATGTGTCTGTACGTCTGGGTGACTAAAAGTATGAAAAATTAAGTTTTTTTTAATTAAGTATTTAGAATAAAACTGTTTAACTAATATTATTTGGATAATATACTTACAATCAATAAGAAACTGACAATACAATATGTTAACGAGCAGCCAAAAATCACTGATAACACAATTTTTCGTCTGATGAAACTGAATAAAAAAGCTCTCCACATGACAGGCAATTGACACCTGGCATTTTCAGTGGCTAAATATGAAATAAAAATAAACTTAACTATTGAGATCTGCTAAAATAGAATTGTAAACATCACTGAATTGCAAGCGGAAACAAACAATAAACATCTATTACAGTTAGAATTTCATTTTTTTTTAAATTGTATGTTTAGTATAGACAGACGACATGTTAAATTGAAGTTAGAAGTTTCGAAAATATTTCATAATAATATGTTATTACGTAATATTAGTATTTAAATAGGATTTATAGTAACAATAAAGTTTTATTTCACACTAAATTGTTATCAATCATAAGACTCTATCTTATAAGATAACATGGCCGGTGCAGTGATAAGAATGATTTGATAATAATTTATGATATTAATGATAGTAGATTATCAAGTTCAAGAGTTTAGTTTCTGACATTTGACATTACTGTACACACTACAGTTGCATTACACTGACATAGTGACATGCATTAAATTCACTTAATTATTGTCAGTTACTGTTGCTAACTACTTAGTTATAAATTGTAATATTTTATAGACGAATAACGTGGTTTATCTTTAATAGTATACATTGTCCATGTTAAAATCGTGATTCGTGATAGATTTAAAATATAATTTAATGGTCTATCTCCATTGTTGTTAGGATTAATTTAAATTTTATTTGATTGCCATGAGAGAACTAATCGACTATGACAATATTCAGATTAGTTAACCTAGTTTTTAACTTATTTACTTGACTAATGAATATGGAACAAACTATTCAGCTATCCAAGAAACAGGTAGGTACCTATTATTTATTAAGTCGATTTTACATATAGCATTATTTTTTCATCGTATCAAATATATTTTAAGTATATAATAACTTTTTACCTACATTTTAACCCATTTGTGTAAATCTACTTTTAAACATTTATATCGTTTGATGTTTCGCACATTAATTTCAAAGCTTTATATCTAATTCACCTCGTAGGTACCCAGACATTATTCTTAGGTAGGTAATTTTTGTAAATACCTAGTTCAAATGTATTTATAGAACAACTTATACAGAAGTTGCCGCAATGTTATTAGCTTAGTGATCTACCAACTTTATTTATTAAAGAAATTAGATTTTAATTGTTTGTAAATGATTGTCGATAAGTACCAACATAATATTGCTTGTTAGTTATATATGAATATATGATGAAGTCCTTTGAAAATCAATCAAACCTTTAATATTATGCTGCGTTCAATCGATTATTTTGTGTTTTTCTTTACTAAATTTAATTTCCTAAAATCCATGCCTTGTTTGATCTAAAAATGTATGTTTTCTTAATTTAAAGTACTCATTTTAGTATAATGTTTAAATATACCTATTATCTATTATTTAAACATATATTTTTTTTTTATATACCTATTATAAGACGTACAAGTTACTAATTTTTATTGTATATAATTATTTTCGGATTTCGAGTATCGGATAAAACATAAATTATTCAAATAATTTTCATATCAAAAATAGTTTTGTGAATTATAATAATTACATTCCTCTTTCACTCACACAGTCATACACACACACTCGTACACATTTACTCTCTATCTCATTTCTTCTAATAGAAGTACATTTTCAGTAAACAGTTGTGATGATAAAATAAAATAACTAATTTAATAGATATAAGGTTGTGATTTACCTAATGTATGCATGCTCTGGAACAAATCCAAAGGGCATAACTTAAACTAGTAAAATTTAAAAACTATAAAATTATATTATACACTTTTATTTATTTGTAACGAAAGTCGTTAAAATTTATTCTTGTTAATAATGTGTAATATTTTCAATGAAAGTAATCGAGGGGACATTTAAAATTTATTTATTTTAAGGGATGGAGGGGCGCGTTCAATTAACAGAATGTATCGAATGTGCGTAACCTTGTGCTTGAATAATATAATAGTTGTGTCTTATAAATTATAATGCATGTATTTATATAGGTAATATTATTATAATTCTTAACGAAACTACAATCTAACATAAATACAGCACATATTATTAACTTTTACATTGTTAGCAACGATTTAAATAATTGTAAATTATTATAAGATATAGCTTGAGTTATAATTATTTATTCGTCTCTCAATAATTGCATTTCAGTATATACATAGAATATCTGTTTATCAATGCATATAATTTGTCGATTCGAGTCGTCCAATAGTCCTAAACGAGTGTATCGTATCGGCTACTTATAAATCATATATACCTTTTCTTTAAATATCACAGTTATTCAAAATCTAACTTTTTGGTTTTTTTAAATGTATTTAAAGACTATATTATTAAATTCATAAAGTTTTTTTCTAATTTTTTCTACACTAGAGTGTCCTTTTTCTACTGCATAATATTAAGCAGATTATTTTTCTGAAAATGTGTCAACATTAAAATTAAAATTCTAATGAATAATTTGAATCGTTACATTTTGTGTACTAACATAATTGATTCATGGTAATGAGTGAAAAGTATAATGGCAATAATAATTTAGATTTATAATCTATCAATATTGATAATTTATAAAAATTATCCAAATACAATAAATATTTTATCTGATAGAAATTAGAAATTATTATCCTAAATTTAAAGATTTTCAATAATAATATAATATACTAAATTACTTACAGTAAAAAGGGAAGCTATAATTTAAAAAAAAAACAGAAGTTATTGTATCCTCACAAGATACTCTTTAAGTATATCCAAAATCTGTAAAATTTAAAATATGATTTTAAATTACTTTTAAATATTATAAAAATTATAAATTGAATAAATGTATTATTAAATGAAAAAATGAAGGTGAACATGCTCGTTGAATATCACAATATATAGTTCCAGATATCTAACAGTTTAAAGTGATGGTATTAATAATGAATTTGTTTTGTTATTAATTTTATAGTATTATAATAACTTATTATATAAGTACCTACTATTTATTATAATTGCTACAAATTACAATAAAAGCTATCATGGATAATTGTAAGACTCGTGATGATTAGATTATTGCGTTATTTCGTATTTTGATCCATGCCGTTTTTAATACTGATCATGTTCGATTTAATTTTTATGTTTTTAATTCATCAATTAAATCTCAAGTGTTAAATGTTAATATTCTTGGTTATGGTATTATGGATTAATTAAAAAAATGAAATATTTATATCGTATCTATTCAGTTTACTTTTGATCGCCCCAATGTGAATGTCATTACTTGTAAATTGCCTGATTGAAGTTTAGGTAAATAATAGTAACCAAAAAAGTGTTAATTATATTATTATTTTTTAGATTATTCATCGATTTATCAAGGCAAACAGAAAAAGGATTGACAATATGATCTTCAGGTATGTTGTATTATTTTTAATTACGGCGATTAAGTGTATAATATATTCAATATTAGTGTATAAAAAGTTATGCATTTATATGAATTATATATAGGTACTTACTTCATGACATTATATAACTACTATCCTTTTGGTCGATCAATAATTTCCAATTTTTAGTGTTTGTGTTAAGACTCAATTTTACATACTAGGGGTGAAAGCTTTTAGGTTAAGAGTAATGAAATGAAAGGCTTGGGTAATGTAGGTTTAAGAATATTTGGTGCATCTTCAGATTTTTCACACCGTAAGTTCAACTAAGTCATTGGTAGAGATTTTTTCAGTTTTTAATTGATTGCTTGGATTCAAATATAGTACGAAGCAGATGAAGGCAGTTGTTGAAATATTTTCATTTGGAGTTGAGGTGAGAACCCCAAGTTAATTTTTCATATCAAATATAATTCCAACGTGCATTTTAGATTTAGAGTAGAGCGATAAATTTATTGATTTTACAACATTTGTAATTTTTGGTTTCTTGTATGACCTTTAAGAACAGTAATAATGTTTAAATATCTTTTATACATCTTTTTTTGACTCATTTTTAAATTAGACTGTTTGTTTAGAATCATTTTTATACTCAATGATTCTTCATTAAATTCAAGTTTAATACATATTAGGCAGGGGCGGACTGGGCAGACGGGCGGGTGGGCGATCGCCCCCTGGGCTGTTAGGATTTTCGGTCTTACGATAATAGACTACGATAAAAATTGTATATTTTAGTTGACAATCAAGGACACAAAAATTGTTTTTAAATTGTATTTAGCTAACAGACCAAATGATGATGATTGAATAGTTGGGAAAGAGGAGAGCCACTAATTCTATCTGTTCTAGATTATTACTATTAAGAAATGTATGCTGGTATAATGCTATTAATATAATATAATATCTAAGCGGCTGGGCCTTTATGATTGCCCGGGCCGATTTTTTACGCCAGTCCGCCCCTAATATTAGGTACATACAATATACATTACCTAAACTTAATGAGTATACTCAAAACCTACTGTTTAGTGGTATATGTTTATCTACTTGGCCGCTTTTTTATTTATATACTTTTATACAATCACAATATTTACTATTAATAACTATCATTTTTTTATATTATTAAATATTGATGTTTCTTTAATGAACTTTTGGTATTTAGTCATGATATTGTCTAGTTATACAAAAGTAATTTTGATGCCATAGGTAAAGTTTTATTCCGCCATTATCCTACCACACTTAATAAAAAATGAGTCACTGACCACTGTCAATTATTTGTATCCCAAAAGTTCGTATAGAATAACAAAAACTCAAACTTTGATATATACATGACAAATTTTCATAAAAATATCCTCAATTTTCCGAGAAAGAATAACGAATAATTTGCCTAGCTTATGTATAGTACTGTTGGATATTTAGAATGAATTTTATATTATTTTTTAAATTATTACAAAAAAATAAAATCATTCTCGTCATAAATTGTACCTATTACTGTAAATATATTAGTTTTTCCGCAATTTTTTATTTTTATTTTTTCCTGACTAACTATTTTGAAAAATAACGAGAATTATGGAGGAAAAGACCTCCTCTTTATCCAATGGTACCAACTAGATTTAATTTACTTCCTGAAACCACCTTTAAAGTTTTAAATTTAAATATTTTTACTGCTCTGAAACGTAAGATGTATTTTTTACTTTTAATGTATAACAGCAAACCGCCATAAGGCTAAATAAATACTAATAACAAAACACAATCTTTGTAAAACCATTACATTTATCGTTCTGTTCAGTATAAGAAATTAAAAACAAAATAATAAATATTATCAATTAAAAAAAAATATATATATTTAAATATATCAATGATAAATTGAAAAGTTTCATAGAAATACATGATTTTTTTATAACTATTATATGTTTTAATTTATAAAAATTGAAATGCCACCAGATGTTTTGACGATAGCTTTGTATCTCTTACAACTACATGATAATGACCAAAAAAAAAAAATGATAGAATAAGAAGAGAATTTGCGAACCATCCTTTTTACTTTCCTCACCGTAATGATATCAGTCAAATCTATTTTAGTACATGCTATGAACATATAAATGATAATTTGCCAAACATATTAACAAAAATAAAATTATCTTGACTTACATAAAACTGCGCTATGATAAAAATTGTTCACCATAATTTAAATATGTCTCTGATATGACTGTGTACGAGTATGTATTAGATATAATTTTATATTTATATTACACTAATTTTGTAGCAAATCATATTTATTTTTAAACAGTTATTTTTTTTTTTTTATTCGAATTATTAAATTTGAGATATAAATAATAATATTTACGATTTTATGTAACCAAGTGTCATATTAATTTTAATATGGATAACTACGGAAGTAGAAGTCAAGATGGTATGATACCTACAGCCGTGGTTTTAATACTAGTTATAGCTAGCGGTTTATCGGTTGATAACTTTTTAAAATTTAAAAATTACGAAACCGCCACATTAACAATTCTCATCTATATCTCACAATCGCTTAATATCAAAAATATACATTCAAAAGTTTAAATTTTTAATATATAATATTTAATATATTCAATAGTTTTTAATGTTTTTATATAAGAGTGACCTGTTGAATTTATAGGTAACAATAATGTATTATTTGTTCTCTCAGTCGATTTTTATTTAATATTTTAATTTTAAAGCTACAAAAAAATAAAAGTTTATGAGCATTATTTAATTTTATTTTTAAGTATTTTTATTATTTTTTTATATTCTATCCATTTATTACTCATTTTTTAAGTAAAAATATTGAAAATTCTTTTGAAAGAACTGAGAAAATGTTGTTATTTTTAAATATTTTTAGGTTATCAATTTACTAACAAAATTAAACTGCTGAATAGAATTTATCTTGGTAATTATTGATATGCTTAATAAATGTGTGTAGCGTTCTCTTAAAGATAAAAAATGTTTTAAAAAAAGGATTAATTTAAAATTATAATTTCTAAAAGAATTACATATAATTCATGTATAAAGCAAATATTAATATATTTTCATATTATTGATGAAAATTTAGATGTATTTGAACTGTATTCAAATGAAATATTTTTAATATATTTATTTTTATAAGTATTTTATACTAGTAATATAATTTCTAAGTTTACTTGACTAAAAGGTAATTATTAATAATATTTTATACTGTAGAATATTTAATTATAATACTAAATTTGTATCCATTTAAAAAGTATTTAATAGACTATTATTCTTAGTATTTAAAGTAAAATAACTCAAAAACTTATCGTTCAAATTTCGATTACAATATACTTATTTCAAATTCAAAATATTCAGAAAATTAATTTGATTCACCATTTGCATTAAAATCTGTGTGTTCTAATTAAAAAAACTAAAGTTGGTATCGCCACAGGATATACTTCTTAAATGTTGTGAAAAATCTTAGTACTCGAAAATATTGTCTTTAATTACATTTAAAAATTTCAAAAATTGTAATTTATATAACTCAACATAAAATTGGGGTGGAAATGCTTAAAAAATCACCTTATACGTATAACATATTATGTATATATTATTGTTTTTTTTTCAGATTACAATCGAAACGTTACCTAATAGGATTGGCGGTATTAGGCCCCGTAGTATTGTTTTTTTTAATATTCTTATCATACCATATTATCCACAACGACAACAGTATTCCTGACCCAGAATTTCCGATTCCACCGTCGAGTATGCCGATGGGCTTATATGGCAAAATTGGTGTTGTATCCAACGGCGGACCGTGTGCACAAATCGGAGTGTAATTATAATTAATAAATACATTTTAACCTTACAGTCGGCACTTTTAGAAATTAAATTTAATGGGGACCATAAATTTACCACTAGAATAATAAAGTCGTAGGCTGTTTTCTCCCATATCCCAATTATTTTCATATTGTAATTTTATATTGACTTACCATTTTATCAAATAATAAAAATAATTTTTGGTCATACCTATATAATATAATATTATATTATAACATTCATTTTAATTTAAGAATTTATTAAAAGTAGAAAATTATTTAACAACCTATAATATAAAAGTGTTTTATACAAGTATAGGTAATTTTAATAAAATATATTTAATGGTTTAAAAAAAATTATAATGCTTAAAGTTAATATTGAAACTTTTGTCTGTTTTACAATTTGAGAGGAGGATTGTTAAATAATACTTTTGTTTCCCCCATTTGTTAAACCACTTGCATTTATACTTTTGTTTTTAATATTTTTTACAAATTATCACAAAGTTGTTTAAAAAATTAAGATAAGCTACTTATTGCAAATAAACATCAATATATTTAATTAAGTTCTTGGACATTAGAGTATTTATAACATTTTAATAATTTGACAATATTTTTGTTTTGCAAAGAGATGTAATGACGAGAGGTGGAAATGCTGTTGATGCAGCAATAGCTACAATGTTATGCGACGGTGCCCTGTGTCCTGAGTACATGGGTATTGGTGGAGGATTTATAATGAGTATCTATAACGCGACAACCAAAAAAGTGATGACGATCGATGCTCGTGAAACAGCTCCTGCTGCAGCGACTACCTCAATGTTTGTAGAAGATCCTCAGAAATCTATTTACGGTACCTGTTACATACATATTCTATAAAAAATTTGAATGCATTGTCTCAAATATAACTTAGTGGATTATTAGGGTTAGGTACTGAAATTATGTACAATTATACATTATTATATACATTTTTATTTATTAAAAAATTATAATTAATTATATTTATTGTAATTCATGTTTATTCTTAGGTATTCGTTAATTTATGTTTTAAAAAATAATAATGTAAAACATTTCATTTTTGTGTCCTTCTCAAAAATAATAAGACATAATAATCATAACTTTAAAAATAAAGTTATAATTATACTTAATTTGTTGCAATTTAACATTTATCAAATAATAGTAAGCATAATTAAGTGTGTTAACAAGAATCATTTAAATTCAGAGATTCCTATAAAAATAAATAAATAATAATATTTTAAATCAAGGAGGAATGGCGGTTGCAGTCCCAGGAGAACTCAAAGGTTATTCGACAATTTATGATTTATATGGTCGTGGCGTTTCATGGAAATCATTATTTGAACCAACCATAAAATTATGTGAAGAAGGTATGACAATCAGTAAACGTCTAGCAAAAAATTTGTATAATCATGAAGAATTGATAAAAAATGATTTGCTACTCAGGTATAAAAAAACATTACTTACTTAACTAAATATTAAATTAGAATAATATTCTAGTATTATTTTTGTGCATATGTATTATTTTCTCATAACATTTTTTTTTCCATAGAATCTAAATTATCTAAATATATAAATGTGTTGTATATGATTTTGTAGAGAAGCTTTTTTTGATGAAAAAACTGGACACGTTAAAACAGCTGGGGAACAATATAAACTACCAAAGTTAGCAGAAACAATGAAAATTATTGCAAAAGATGGTGTAAATGCCATATACAATGGTTCATTAACACCTAAATTATTGGAAGATTTAAAAGAAATGAATGGAATAATCACAAAAGAAGATTTAGCAAATTATACGTAAGTAACTTACCCATGTACATTTTTGATGTTTTATTTTATAAATATATATTTAACATTTTTACAAATATTATTACCCGATAGTAGTTGCCAATTCGTTTTTTCCAATTTTTTTTTACAAAAATCTAAACCACAAAAATTATGCTTAAAAAATGAATAATTATCATATTATATTTATTGTGTTTATAGCATTAAAATATTTACTATAATTGACGAGTTTGTTTTGATAAAAAAAAGATAATTTTTTTGTATTTAAAGATAATCTGTTTTTTTGGGGGTGTCTACCCAAAAATTTTTTTAGCTTTACCACTACCAAATATAAATGTAATTTTTGGCAATCTAGAAACCAGTTTATATGTTGTATATAATTTTAAATTAATTTTAATATTTTTAAAACCAAATTCTCTGTTTTTAGAGTTAATATCAAAGAATCTTTTCTTGTAAACTTAAAAAGTGGACATACAATACACGTGGGTCCACCACCTAGCTCTGGCATCATACTGGCTTATATACTCAGAATATTGGATGGAATATTACCATCACCTGATACACGATTAGACGCTCATCGATTTGTGGAAGCGTTCAAATTTGGGTTTGGGGAAAGAACCCATCTAGGAGATCATAAATTTGTTGATGTGTCTCGAGTAATAATGAAAATATCTAACACTTTTAATAAATCAATGTTTGAATAAACTTACTTTTTTAGATTTACGATAAAGTAAAATCAGATAGTTATATCAATAGTATTAGAAGTAAAATCCTTGATAATTTCACTTCGTCAGATCCAAGACACTATGGTGCTGATTACGATATGCCAGAGAATCACGGAACTGCTAATATTGTGGTAACAGATTCATTAGGTAATGCTGTTGTAGCTACAAGTACATTGAACACTTAGTAAGTATTAAAGTATTTCTTTATATTTTTAATTGATGTAAACTATTAAATTTAGTAACCTACTGATTTAATTTTTATTTCAGCTTTGGTTGTGGTTTTATGTCTCCTAGTACTGGTATACTACTAAATAATGAAATGGACGATTTTTCTACTCCTGGAGTCACTAACTTTTATGGTATTCCATCCTCACCTGCTAATTTCATAGAACCAGGCAAGCGACCATTGTCTTCAATGTGTCCAACTATAATCACTGACAGAAAAGGAGACTTTGTTCTTGGGGTAGGAGCAGCAGGAGGATCGAAAATCACTGTTGCTACTGCTTATGTATGATTTCTTTCTTTAAATCTGTTTTGTTTGATTTTATTTTTTAATTAATTTAAAAATATTTTAGTTTTTTGAAAGTATCTATTTCTTCTTAATTTTTTAAACTGACATAGCTTTAGATTAGGCGAATAAATAATTGCCATACTTGAGTTATTTTTTTATTAAAATGTTTAAAAAAAAATCTGTTGTTGTGTTTACCTTTAATCGATTTGTTTAAAGTATAAATATATTTATATAATCTTAATATTATTAAAAAAATATCAAATATTATATTAGAAATTGAACAACAAATTTGATGAATTATTAATGCGTTTTAAGAAATATAAATTATAATTATTGGAATTGAGTATAGGTATTAAGCATTGATTTTAAATACTATTGTCTTCTATTTACTACTAATATATTTATAATAAATTTATTTATTAACAAAAGACATTTTAAAGTTGTGTAACATTTCAAAAACATTTTCTGTTTTTAGGTGTCTGCCCTCAAGTTATGGTATAATAAAACATTAAAAGAAGTAATAGACAAACCCAGAATTTACCACCAACTTATACCTATGGAAGTTCAATATGAATACGGAACAACTAAGGTACAAAAAATGAAACAATAGATTTTTTGTTCTTTGGTGTAATTAGAAACTAGTTTGATTTTAACTAATAGTTCATTGCATCTTTTCAGGATGTAGTGCAAAAACTTGTGGATGTTGGCCATAATGTTGTTAGGTTAAAGAATGGAGCATCAGCAGTTACAGCTATTGCTAAAATTTCTTCAGGTATGTTTGAAGCTATGCCAGATTTTAGGCGGCCAGGAAATTCATCCGGATTTTAAAATGGTTTTATATTTTATGTTGATTGTATTTAAATATATTTATTTTTTTTTTTTTTTTTTTTGTATAAAATACCTTGTATGTTCCTAAAATATTAGCTTTTAAAAAATGTATTGTGTGATTAAAAATATTTATTGATGTATTTTTTATTGTGCAACTTAGATTAAATTTAAGTTTCACAGTTACACAGTTATTGTTAACTGATTATGAAATATTTATAAATACAGAAGTGCACAATTTTTATGTTTTGTATATATTATTTGAATAAGGACAAAAAATACATGAAATAAAGGAATGGTTTGTGATTTTAAATATTAATTTTTTGTACTTAGTATGAATAGAAATATTTGTTGCTACTTCCAGGGTCATGCCTAGGGGAGAGGAGATTTGGGTGTTTAACTTTAAAGAATTTAGTAAAAAAGTATTGCTTAATATTTGTATGTATTTGAAATTAACATTGATCTTAATGAAATTATGAGAAGGTTCGCTTTAACACCTCGAAGACAAGGATTCATTCTATATATTTTTCTATGCATATTAGTAAAAATAATAAATATATTGTACAAAATTAATATTTTTTTTTGTAAATTATATTTAAATGTCATTATTTATTACTTAGTAAATAATAACTATTCTTAAATATTTTTAATTATTGTCATTATCAAGAAAAATTGTTCAAGAAAGAGTGTCCAGTCATTATAGATCTTTCAATAGTAATATACAGTCTTGCAGTAATAGCAGTAACTACTTTGTTGGCTGGGTAAGAAAATTTCATTTGTGTTACTCATACAGCAATATAAGTACTTCTTATTCATCTCATCAACATAAATCGAAAAGAATTTTTAAATAAAAACTATTTTTTTAAATTAAACTAATACTCTACAGAAGTATTTAGAAACATTTGTTTTGCTGCGAACTGATGAACCACTACTATTCGGTATGTCTATTTGTCATGACAAACATCAGAACTCGGAAGTATATTAACAGTGTTTTGGATAAGTCCACAAAATGGTAAGTCAAAATGGCAAATTTAAGTTTGACATTTTGTCTACCCTTAAAAATCTGAACCAGTTTAGCAAAACATCAGAGTAATTTTTTGGAGGGAAAACCTAAACAAACTTTTTATTTCGTGGCATCACAAACCGCGGCTTAATAAATTGATGAATATCATAACTTTCCCCTTCTTCCCCCCCCCCACAGATATTTCATTAGCTATTTTAGAAGTTTTTTTTTACGATTTGTATGTGATTTTTAAAACAACAAACTTCACATAAATATCTGTTGTTTCATTTGAGTTCAATTTGTTGCCTGAATATTAATTTGATGGATCACCTGTTACGTACCAATCTAGCTATCATTTAAGAATTGCTGCAATAGTTTTTCGGTTGCTAACGAGAGATCGTTGCACTCTATACTTGTAGCCTGTAGGCCTCCTCCGAGCGCCATAGTGTACTCGATAAGCTCTGTTGTGCAGCCAGTTGCTATGATAACGACATCATTTTTGTAAGTGCGATTATTTGTGTGCTGGAATTCCTGATTAATATGTGTATCTATTTAATACTGTCTATCTTAAAAATATATACCTATACAATATCCTAGATAATACATACTAAAGGCTAAAGTGCTGTGAATCGGAGTCTGTAAATAGCATCCACCAAGTGAGGTCATAGTCATATACTATGTAAATTGCGGCCCGAAACATTCCGATTTCCGGTTGGCTGTACAATTTAAAGATTATTAATAACTAATAATCTACGATGTAGATAATATCAGCTTGAGAAGTCAGGATACAAAAAGTAAAAAAATTACTGAAAAGAAACATTTATACATGAAAAAATGTACCTAGAATTGCAAGCAAAAAAAAATTACTTGGTTAGACTAAGTGCGGAAATTATCTTACAAATTTTCACCAGTTTCTTAATTACAATTTTTTTTTTAATTATATATTTTTAATATACACATTTTTACCTAATACTTTATTAGTAATTGTTAATAATACATTTTTTAATTATAAACAAAGAACACCAAAACGAAAATTTTTAATCATACTAATACCTACTAAAACAATTATATTGCCAGTTCTAGGTCTGAAAAATGGGAAGGAAAATATTGATTTCAATATATAAATTGATTTTATACTAATTATACCTCGGCCGCAGTTTACATATATCTATGAAAAATTAAAAATATACTTTGGCCGTAATTTACACAAAAAATTAAAAATGGGACGCAATTTACAGCGACCCCTGTGATTGTTGATGAATACCGTGTACCGTTTTCGTTCTAAGCCTTTTCAACGAGAATTCCGATAAAGAAAAAAATATAAATAATTTGTTCCTTTGTATAGTAGTTGAATATAATATTATTCTGTAAGTGCAATACTAGCGATAAGAACCATAATAATATACTGACATATACTATACATAAATAAGTAGGTAATTAATTAATTACTAAAATAATTATTGCCACCGTTAAGATTTTATTTTTTTTTTCTTATACAGTTTAAATATTATTAATTACACGGTGGTTTTTATCGATTAATAAACTAAGGACAAACTTTCCTAACAAATAATAATTGAAAACGTCGGTAATAAAAACTAGTCCTCAATTGATTTTTTCGAGATTCGATATTATCATTGTAGTACGCCCATATAATATTATAATTATTTTTATTTTACAGGTATCTACAACTTGTATTTTATAAAAAAAATAAGTATATAAAATATCCATATTGGGTATTGTGAAGCACTAATTTTAGAATACACTATTATGTTTACACGTTTCGTTGAAATCAAATTATTTTAGGTTCAACCATGTACGTAATAACACCACCAATAATTGTTTTACCATCAATAATAAAACGTGTAAGTAGTAATACAAATACGATATTACTAAATATAATACATGTAAAATTTCATCATGATTGTATATTTTACAGTGGATAAATATTAAATACCTATTCATAGGAACAGATTGTTTTTATTGTATTTGTTTTTTCTTGTTTTTTTTTTTTCTAACGGGAATTTCATCTGCCCTACCTGTTGGCAGTATTGATATTATATAAAATATAAATATTCAGTTATACTACTAGACTAGATACACACGTACTTGAATATCTACTAGTCCATTAACTACTTGTCCTCACTTATAACTTTACTAGTACTTACAAAATTCAAGGACGTTTTTTGTCATAACTTTTTGGTAATCACTGAACGCGTGAAATCAGCCTATCGAAGCGCTCTCTCTTGTTCCAGTGTCGTGTGTGTACCTATTTGGCACGTTGTATTTTAATCAACAGTACGAAATAGAATGTGATGGTAGTACTATTAACGTACCGTTTTTTTTTTTTTTTTTGTGACTTGATTAGCAATTTTGTTTATTTGTTCAATTTTTTTTTATTTTGTGAGTGTTATTTATTATTGTATGTACGGTTTTTTTTTATCAATGCAATAAGCAAATTGGACAAATAAATTAAAGGTATCAAAAATATAATTTAAGGTATAACCTTCACCTGTATAATACTCATGTTAACTATAAGCTAACTTAACGTATGAATATTCCAAAATTATACACATTTTTGAAATTATTTTTTTATTTTTTTTTATATTGTTGCTCTGTTTACTTATGTATTTTATCATATATTTAACGTTTAATAAAATTTTAAAAATTTTAATTTCGTTTTTAAGGTTTATATAAAGTAATATGTATATTTAAGTCGAATAGGTTAGGTTAGGTATACGGTTTTACAATTGAGTTTGCGTGAACATAGCAATTATTTTACAAAAAAACGATTTTACTTTATAATAGAAGGTCAGATTCGATGCAGTTAATAACTAGTATAATACATAGTATAGCATAAAGTGTACTAATAAATTGTGTGCGTACAATACACAAATAATAATGTGAAGTCATCCCAAATAGTTTATATAATGTACCTACATGATGTATTTGTATAGGCTCTTTAGAGCATATTACAAAACGTTATTTTTTATTAGTATTGTGTTGCGTTGACTAAAATAAATAACCGAATAAGTAATTATGTTGAGATTTTTTTCAAAAAAAAAAAAAAATGTTTATTATATTAATATACAAATAATTAAGTTTTAAATTAATTAATTTATTTTTTATTTCGTTTTTTGACACCAAATAATTGTATTATACTTACACAGTTACACCAATTAGGCCCAAAGTTTTGAACACGATACATTTCCTATTATGTATGTTAAAAATGTTTGCGGATACATATAATTTAATTTATATCCTGTTATTAACTGATTAACAATTAGAATTACGACACAGATTTTTTTTTGTCTATCGTGCAGAACGATGGAGCTAGTAATCTATTAATGATTTATTATTTTTATCATTAACAGTATGACTTAGTAAAATATCTTATTTCGTTTTTAGATTTTTACGTTATTTGATAGAAATTTTGTTTGTGACGAGTTATCGATTATAGACTAACACGAAAAATCAAATTCTACTCAACCGAACACTCTACACTCTGAACGTATTTCTATTAAAATTTAATATTTCTTTCATATTAATAGACATAATATTATTATCAATTTATACTTTAAAGTATTTATTTTTTTTTTTTTAATTTAACGATTCAATTGAATAATTTGACTAGATTGTCTAGATTAATATAACTTTATAGGTTTCACGTGTGTGTGTAGTGCGAATATCTTATTTCTTGAAGCTATGGCAATTAACACTTCCTTAAATTATTACTAAGTAGTTAAACCAACGTTTGTTCTCAAAATATATATTTAAATGATATATTTTTTATGTATTATCTTGTACCTATAGGTACAAGATAATACATAAATAAATATTACATTTATGCATTTTCCGTATATTGATAGTATTTAGTTTTTGGAAAAAAATTCGTTTATCATTTTCACGTTCATACTTTATGAATGTTACTAATTTTAAAATTAAATTCTTTTCATAAAATAGTTTGCCAAAAATGTTGTTGTGTTGATATTTTATATACATGATAACATAAACCAGTTTATATTATACAATATTTTAAGATTATTTTTAAGACATTTTTCTATAACTAAACTTTACAAATTTATAAGCATGTTTCTTATAAAGTAACAAAAATTCGTTATGTATAAAATTACATAATTGAATACAAGTTTAAATATTTAAATAAAAGTTAATTTTTTTTTTTAAATTTAAATTTGTCAACGTATTAATATGAATTTTATCAAATCAATAATTTTCAGTAGTCATCAAAATCAATCCAATGATGTTAAGTTATTATTGTATTATTTTCTATGAATAAAGTATAAAAGTATAAGCTACACTATAAGTGTATCGTATAGGTTCAATATTAACAACTTTGCTTTCGAAAATTATAAAAAATTTATTAAGTAACTGTATGACGAAAAATAACCTCGAATTATGATAAATTAATGATTTTGTTTCTAGACTACAAGTATGTTATAATAAGAAATATAATTAAAAAAACTATTCAGATCAACAAGTAAATGGTTAGGTACCTAATTAATTGACGTAATTAGTGGAGATGAAGCGATTTATTAATGTAATTACAGGGGCAGGGAAGGGAACTTGTAGGGTGTTATTGTAATTCGTTATAATTTTTTTTAAACTTACTTATCATGTACCTACTTATTTAATACTATACTAAAATAATATACAAAAAAACCAAATTCCCCAAGTGGCTATGCTAACTGTACATAGCCAAGATAATATTTTTTTGCAATAAATACCTACTATTGTACAAAATATATTATATCATATTGTATTGTGCTTCAAAAATAAATCAATGAATGGTCGAATATTATTTTATCGTGCAGGAGTGACGACATACATCAGCAATGTCGTGTATAATTTATAACCATATTATTATAGTATGTTAATATGATGTAATTATTGGTTTTTACGTATTCGTACATTTTTATATGCACTTATATTATACGTATCACGATGGTTGTATTGAGAGGTTCTTAAAATATGTGCAATTTTTTTTTTTTTTATTGAAAAGGAAGGCGAGAGAGAGACAGAAAAAAATGTATACAAATTTCATCTTCTTTTCGAAAACATGACAAAACTATGCCTCTGTAGTGACTAAATATCTTAACTATAACAAAAAATATCATAAAAAATTTTAACATTTAAAACAACACTAAAAAATGTACGAGTATATTGAGATGCATCAAAGTGTGATAAAGGAGTAAACATATCAATGTTTTAATCGAAATATGAAAACATTATGATTATAATATTATTTTATTTAATTTTTTCTTAATATTTTTATTTGAAATAAATAATTTACACTTAAGGTACTCGAGAGGTTTATTGATGTGAGTTGCATACAAAGAAAGTTTACCTATTATTATTTAAATATTTAGTTTGCAAAAATGAATTTCTTACATTTGACATTATAAATACCACGGGTATGTATTAAATGTAACATCTATTATTTTATTATTGGTATTCAGTTAATAGATACGTTAAGATTAAAGTAGTAATTATTGTCATATTTCAATTAATATTTTTTATAAAAACAAGTTTTTGATTAGTCATTTTCTTTTTCAATAGTTATAGAAAATTGATTTTGGTAAATATTCTAATTCAATTTTAACAAATCATCATAAAAGTCATATTTTTTTAAATATATAGAAAACATGTAAATAGTATAATATTAGACAACAGATTATGTAACAATAGATTAATTATTGAACTTTTTTTTCTAACCGTATCATACTATTATAAAAGTATAAAAATCAAACTTAACAGTTGGTAAGAAATATTATTAGTTATTTCATCAACCATAATTTATTAACATTTTATAATAAGTTTAAAAGTGTAACACAAAGTTTAAAATTAAGCTTTGTAGTGAATATTTTATAGTGTCATCTTCAATAATTATTTCTAATATTTCATCATCATTTGTAGATTAGAAATAAAGTATCATTAATGATTATTAAATTTCGATTTACAAGTAGGTAATGATTAATAATTATTGTTTTTAAATTACAGTAATAGATACGTATTAGAAAAAGTAGGTGGACCTGTGACATAATTTGGAGAATTTATAGCGATGACTGATTATGTTCTTAAGTAATTTTAAATTTCGTTATGCCTATTGTCATATTAATTATTATAATAATATTCGACACCGTTCAAGACTTGTACAGCAATAAGTGGCACGTAGATAATAATCAGAAATTAATTCTGAAGTGTTGTAATAATATTAAAATAGAAATAATATATATGCACTCGTAAATATGGTTAAGAAGACAATTTAAATTTACAGCACATTTGCTGTTTAGTTTACTTTAGGTTGCGTCTAGGTGAACGTCTCTGTTTTAAACCGCCCGATCGAAGTAAATCACGATACAAGTGCTTATTTATCTAACATATTATATATTATTAATGTAATATAATATTTGAGCACCAAAGTAATTTTCCATTTATTGTTATTGTTGTATATTTTACAGATTATATCGGTTCATTGATTGACTCGGAATACGATACACGCGGACATTATGGTTATGTGCAGGTGCGTTTTAATTTTATATTTATAATTATAGATATTATATATTAATCAGCTAATTAATATTATATCGATTTATTATTATTATGTTTATTGTATAACAAATCAGCCATAGATGTAATGTAACACGCGTGTGGAATGATGGGCAATGGCATAATAATATTATCTAATGATAAAATGATTAAAAAAAAAAATTAAAAATATACTGTTTATTTACCGAGAAAATAATTATTACATACTACATAATAACACGTTAGGCATACCGTTTTATATACACACACTGCAAAGTACTGACACCGATACATATTTATATATTTCTTATATTGTTATCGTTTTTTATTATTGAATAAAAATATAATGTTGTGGTTTTCAATCATAATGATGCCCGGTTCTGCGGTTCATTCAGTTTTACTTACTTGGTTATCGACTGCAGATCGCGTTTATGCTCCGTCGTAGTATAATTTTGTGCGTAAAATTAAATGAGACATATTCTTTCGGATGGCGTTTCCGCGCCAGAAAGGAGTTCGTCGGTAAACATTTCCGAAAATACACCGATACTCGGGAGTACGAAAAAAAGGCATAGGTCAGTACTCAGATTATAAGTTTAAAATCATATTTAATATGATGTATATTATATCATATATTACACAAATTTCAAACCAAAATAGTTTACCGAATATTTATCGCAATTATTTCATTTGTAATGGAATCAGAAAATATATATCTATAATTATTGTTCAATCAAACGTAATTAATTATTATTTTCAGGAAACTGGAAAATAACTTAACATTTTTGTTTTTTGTTTTTTTTTACTATTTTCAATCAATTTTAAAATTACTTTATAGCGAACTACTATAATAGTTTTATCTAAATCGGGTTATACGTTTAACGAAAGAAACTATTTTAAAAACTATTATCGTTTTCAAAATTATATTTCTCACAATTTTACATAATTTTAAACCGTTAAAAAACAAATTTTTTTTGCCATTTTTTATCGTTATATTTTTTTAAAAATCTGTAATGACAATATAAATTTTTAGTTCCTTATCCCAAAAAAATAATATTTTTCGAAGTACTTCGATGTTTAAAAATCGAATTTTGACGAGTTTTTATAAGATTATTATATTTATAAAGTTTTAATGAGTGGATTGGAGTGGTACCTGTGAAAAATGTTAGTCCATTACTCCATTAATCTATTACTCCACGTTTCCTACTTAGCTAACTTTAAATACACATAACTTATAAACTATTTGTCTGAAATATTTATCGATTGAAATAATGCAAATAATATTCTTTTTAAGAATATAAATCAAAAATGAATGTAAGTATTCAACAATAAAAATAATGATAATGATAAAAAATAGTTAAAAATTAAATTTTTTCCGAAAAATTTAATCTTTTTAGTATTAACTAACTAAAAATTATGCAAAATAAATATTTTAAAAAACTTTTTTTAAATATTTTCTAAAATAACGAGTGTCTTACGTTACACGGATTATGCCGTATATATTATTTCTAAAGAGTATATTTATACGTGTATAACATTCTATATACCTATTGGTTACTCTGGAACTAAACAAGAAAATATAAAATTATGTAAACGAAGTCATTCATCTCCCTTCTTAAAATACATAAACACAATTTTTGAGGGATTATATATTTTAAAACTATACTACTAAAAATCATCATTTATTATTAAATAGGCATCTTAATACCATCATTGTATTTTAAATTGATGTAAGTGTGTTACTGTGATTATGACGAGCACGTATTATGTAAACCAATATATAATAGGTAATAGCTTTCACACATACTAGGATTCACTCATTGATCTTAATTCAATATAAAATAACATATGGTTTTTAAACACAATAAATAATCAACGCAGTAGTTTGATAATAAATTAATAATAAACGTGTGTGAAACATTGGCACCTACAATCTAACACACAGACCTAATTTATCATATTATTGTATCATCATAATATATAAGTATAATGAGCGTCGCTTAAAATAACATTATAATTACCATGGAAAAAAAAATATAATGCTAGTCGTTTATTTTAGATTCTGAGCAGAGCATATTATTGGTTTTATAATGATATGTTTTTGTTGTTGTATCAATCTTCGCTCATCACCTTTTGAACCAGTAAAAATTCTTAGATTTTAAACTTTGAATCTTTTCTGCTGTAAAACGTAAATTTGTATTTAGGTACACTGCGAAGTTTTCAAAATATTTAAATTAATTTTAAGTTCTAACACCGTTTTATGGTACATCTAATAATATTATAATGATTATTGATTATAATTTATTATACGTGATCTGTTTTTGGTAAAAGTTGCCTTGTGTATTAATTACTAACAGAAAAATAAATAACTACCTAATAGCAGTATAAAAATATAATTAACCATCCTTAGAAATATACTAAAAAAGAGAAGAACAAAAAATGAATATAGACTGTTAGACCATTTCCGCAGAATATCGTTATTCATTGCACTTATACGATTATACAATGGTCCAATGATAGTAAATGATTTATTACTGAGTTATAAAATGTGACATATTTATTACACTATTATACCGACAGACTCAATGATAAGGTACAATTGTTACTTTACTGTAGAAAGATTTTTATGTTTTTTATTTTGGAAAGTTTAGGTTATTAAATGTAGGGTATACATGATTGATATGACATATGTATTAAAATTAAATTGTAAAATAAATCCAAATTAATTTTTAACTGTTTTTTTTTTTTGCGATGTAATGCATTTGTAAGACAGAGATAAAGTATGCATATGTGATGTCAACTTAAATTTTATTATTTAACATAATTTAATACAAAATTTAAAAAAAAAACCTTGATAAAATAGTAGGTTACACATTATTGTCGTTAGTTTGATTATCATTTGATTGAGTTGAATGAAAAACCATATTATATAGCCAATTGTAGGTATTTTATAATCAAATAATATTTAATGGTTTTTTTTTTTTTTGGTCAGGTGTTTACTATTTTATATATGCGGTAACGACGATTTGTTTTTACCTAACAATTAAACATTTATTTTATTTCTTATTAGTTTTTAAAAGTTTATTGCACTTCAATTTTCTTTTATTAAAGTAATTGCAGTGTTAACAATATTTTTCGTATAGATAAATTATATCATAATAATATATTATAATATGTACTAAACTGCATAACTGTTTTTAAAATGCCAATTTACGAAGAAGAAACTTGTTTTTCGGGTACGTCCTTTATATTAATTCTTTCGGTAAATACCTATTATAAATTTATAAATATGGGTTATAAACATAATATACTATCTATATACTTGAGATTATTTAATTTCAATTTCAATTTGATGAATTTATATTAAAAAATAAATTTAGTTTGCTGTTCTATTTTTTAAAATTTGATAGATTATTTTGGTTTCTGGTTCAAATTACTTAAGTTTTTTTTTTATTATCACTTATATAAATTTATGATTTTTTTGATTTATAATAACACATATTTTAGTCTATGTGTGGTAGTACAATAAAGTGATTTTTAATATCAGATGTAATATTAGTATTATGTATCTTTTTTTTATACTATTAAATTAGTTAATAGAGAGCTCTTGATAATAGTATGATTATTTTTAATTAATTATTGCAATATTAGTAATAATAAAGTTGGTACTTATAGTTCATACGTAGCACTTAAAATTTTAATGGATATTTAAGCCTATCTTATAATATTTGGTTGATTTTAATTGTAACTACCAACAGCACCGTTGACATTGAGATTTTATTAACAAATCACACAATCCATCACTTGATACGATAGTACATATTTCATTCAAAATCAAATTCAAAGAATCTATGCAGGCTTTTAGTGAATATATTTAGTACACGTAACTTGTTTGTCGTTTGTCGTTTATTAAAAACAGAGTTTGATAATCTTTTTAATATATGATAAAGTTGTAGGTAAATATAAAAAGTTTATTGAAAACATAAATTTTAGGCGTATTTAATCAAAGGTTTGGTTGATAAATTAGTTCGTCTTGGAAATTGTGGTACATAATATATATTAATAAAGTAGAATGGGCCATTATGGTAAGTAATAATTATTCTATAATCTAATTATTATTATTTAGGTAGCTATTTAATTTTTATTGTAATCTTTGTGTTTGTAAATATTATATATTTTTTTAATGATTTTAATTTATATTCTACTTGGTAATTAATAAGTTCATAACCTCTGTATATTGCTGTATAATTATAAAAATAAATAAATATTTTTAAGTATGTTTATATATATATATATTATATATGTATAGAACATTACCCCATTATATAATGTATTATTTTACATAATTTAAATATTGTACATTTTGGATATTTTGCTAATTATTAACACACTATCTTAGGGTTTTTCATGGTATTGATTATTTACAATAAATTAAGTACTATACTTGTTACTTATACATCGCACTTGGCACCCACCCATTTCGTCAATGACATTCGTCATGATAGTTTCTCATAAAAGTGATCCAAGTGTGATCGAGTGTAACGCGCTTATCAATTCGCTCAAATATTTTATTTACAACACAAACACGATCAATGGCTAACGCGTAGGAACGATATTATTTTTTCAGATTACAATCAAAAAGTTGCATTGTTCTAGTAGGACTCGTTATATTGATCTCCGTGGTTTCATTCCTGTTGGTATACACGCACAATGCACCAAATGGCGAAATTCCAGACCCGGAATTTGCGTTGCCTCCGTCGAGTATGCCAATGGGATCTTACAGTAACGTCGGCGTCGTGTCCAACGGTGGACCATGCGCACAGATCGGAGTGTAATTATTACATACATTTAAATCATTTAATAAAAGAAAAATAATATTAAAAATAGAAATCGTTTGGTTAAGATGTCGTTAATTAATGATAATGTCCGATAGCTTATTTCACAATAATAAACTATATTTTAATGTTAATTTAACTTTAAATAAATACCTAAATATTATGTGAAATTAACCAAACAATATAAAAAAATATATTATTAATTAAAGTATACTATATTTTATATTTCATAACTAGTTTTGAGTAAGAGTTTATTTATTTAAAACATAATAATAATAATTTTAATATTTAAATGCAATGAAGGTTTATCCATGTCAATTTGAGACGGTAAGATAAATTAATAGTTTAATACTTATTTCCATAACATATTATAATATATATATAATTTGTTATTCTCGTTATTAAATTAATTAATCGTTATCAGTTACATAATATATATGTCAATCAACATTAGGTACTTGTTAAAAAGATGCTATACAATGTAGGTAGGTATAAAAAAAGCCCTCAATTAAAAACTAAAATTCAAAAATAATTGATTTCTTCTCAAATTTAACTTATTAATCGAATTTTAATATGATTAATAATTGTCACTCAGAAATAGTTAATAATATAGTTTATATTAATTAATTTTAATATTAATTATTTATTTTGATCTATTTTTTCATAAGTAATTATACAAATATAGTTATTGAAGACTTGAAATATATGAATAAAAAAAATTAATTGAACAAAAATGATCACACAATATTATCGATAAATGTATTTTGTTTACACAATTTATTTAAATATTATTTAAATTATCAATATAGTCAATATAAAAAATGTTCATAACTCATGGTATTAATTATAGAGAGCATTACTATTTTATTACGTATTTAGTATATAGGTTTAAACTTTGAGGAAATACTTAAAAATAAAATGTATTAATATTGTTTATATAAATATTGACAATTTTAATATTTTGATCGTTTTTCAAAAGGGATGTGATGGCCAGCGGAGGAAATGCCGTGGATGCTGCTATAGCAACGATGTTATGTGACGGTGTTCTATGCCCTGAGTACATGGGTATTGGTGGAGGATTTTTGATGAGCATCTACAATGCAACAACTAAGAAAGTAATGGCAATAAATGCACGGGAAACTGCACCAGCTGCAGCAACTGCTGAAATGTTTGTAAAAGATCCAAAAAAATCAGTTTTGGGTGTGTATACTAAATAGAAATTTTTAAAATAATTCTTAGGTAACAGATTTATTATTATTTAAAATAAACTGTATACTACGATTATACTTTATTTTCATTATTTGATTAATTGGAAATAAAATATATGAATTTTAAGTGTCATTTAACATTCATATTATTTATACCATGTTTATCAGGTAACACTTAAAATTTCGAATTTTTATTAATTGATGATCTTGGTCTATTTCAAAGTAATAAACAGATTAATATAGTCAAATATCGAATGGTTCTTGTAATTTTGGTTTTTATAAACAAAATATGGTAAATTTTTAGGAAAAAAATTAAGTATTCAATCAAAAAAAATCGAGTAGGTATTATGAAATTGAAATTAGTATGATATAATACTTGTTTTAAATACCTAAATATATACAATGTACCCATAATATATATATATAATTGTTTTGGGCTTTATTTTAGATTTATTAGTTTATTTTTATTTTTATATTTAATATTTCTCATTTATAAAAGCTAAAACTACAATATTTATTCAGTTTTGACAGAATTAATTTATACTAATATATTCAAATTTAACAAGATCAAGAATTTTACCGGTAGTGAGTGATCGACAATAATTCTAGGTATTAGTATGTATTACCGACTAAACCTAGATTTACTCGGTATTTACTTATCTGAGTTATCAATATTTAATTAGTTACTTTTATGAATTATTACTGATTACAGCTTGACACGTTTATAAAAGCGTCTATGAACAAATATTAATATCATCCAACAATTTTAAATTTGTACCTATTTAAAAATCCATCAGGTGGCTTGGCGGTCGCTGTTCCAGGGGAGCTCAAAGGTTATTGGACGATTTATAACTTGTACGGTAGTGGTAAAGTTTCATGGCCATCTTTATTTGAGCCAACTATTAAGCTATGCGAAAATGGCATAAAGATCAGTAGTCGTTTAGAGTTAAACATGATAAATCACGAAGATTTAATAAAGAATGATCCATTTCTGAGGTATAACAAAAAAATCTGTTATTTTGTTACAATTAAAATATTTTTATACAGTAGAATCCATTTAATTATGACGCATTAGATAGTGGTATATAGTCCTCATTATCCGACTGTCCGGACATTTCCGATTAACTGAATAACTTATAAATTGAACTACTTAAGTGCATATAAATGATAAATTAATTTACAAAATACATAAACACTTAATTTATACTTAAAAATTATCTTTAATAATATTATAATATCTTTAATTAACTAATTGATTAATTTATTATACATGTTTATTATAAATTAATTGATTAACATACTTAATTCATACATTGATAGGCTACAGGAAATCGTTTATTCTTCTTTGTAGTTAGTCGTAATTTATTAAGACTTTGCTTATTGATAAAGTCTATATAGAAGTTAAGCGAAGTTGTTGGGGCATTTTTGTTTCCATTTTGCATGCATTATTGTCTCAGTTTATCAATGAATTTGTAGTATTAGGAGAAAAATAGATGATTAACAAAAAATAAAATACGTAACATGAAATTATTACATAGATACATTTATGCACATGTATATAAATAATAATAAAACCATAAAAATTGGATAATTATAGTTTAGATAAGAATGTAGATAAGTATAGGTTAGAATATCTATCTAATTAGATACATTTATCTCTGTCCCTTTACCTTTATAATATATAGTTTGTCCTAAAACAAATATATTCCTTCGGGACTATGCCAATTTGTCCCCACTAAGCGGTTATTCTCTTTATGCAGTATGTTAATATTGATAAATAATATATATATAATAGATTCTACTGTATTTATTTTTTATCTAAAGAAAATACGGTTTTTATAATGTAGGTATTGTGGACGATTTTTTTTAGACAAGCATTTTTTGATGAAAAAACCGGACATGTAAAAAAAGCCGGAGACGAGTACAAATTGTTAAAGTTAGCAGAGACAATGAAAATCATATCAAATGAAGGTGCCGAAGCCATATATAACGGATCGTTGACAAATCAATTAGTGGAAGATTTAAAAAAAGTCAACGGTATTATAACCAAAGAAGACCTGGCCAATTATAAGTTAGTAACTAATGAGTATTTAACTAATATTTCCATGAAATATCTTAAAGTTTAATACTGTTTAAAGACTACTAAGCTAAAAATATATTACGTTAACCAATTATTATAAATTGATGACAAAAATGAAAAATTTAATATTCCCTGAATTAGAGGTTTTAAAATTTTAACTGTGTACAAATATTACAATAAATTTCAATAAAAACCAAATGCTACATTCTAGGGTAGAAATTGAAGAATCTTTTTCCGTAAATTTAAAAAATGGATATACAATACATACAGGACCACCACCTAGTTCTGGAGTAATATTAGCCTACATACTTCGAATATTGGACGGAATATTACCAGCACCGAATCCTGGATTAGATGCACATCGATTGGTAGAGGCTTTCAAATTTGGATTCGGTGAAAGAACGCATTTAGGTGATCATAATTTTGTAAACGTGTCCCAAGTATGTTTTCAGCTACAAACACTATATTAATATATTAATTTTCGGATAAACTCTTTTATTTATAGATTTACGATAAAATAACATCAGATAGTTATATAGATAGTATACGAAATAAAATAAACGATACATTCACTTCGTTGGACCCAAAGCAGTATGGTGCTGACTTTGATATGCCAGAGAATCACGGAACTGCTAACATTGTCGTAACCGATTCGTTGGGAAACACTGTTGTGGGCACCAGCACTTTAAATATATAGTGAGTAAAACATAATATTATGTATATTATTTTTTTAAATGTCTAATCAGCGAACAATAAAAATCGATTACCACTTTGAATTTTAATTTTTTTTCAGCTTTGGTAGTGGTTTTGTGTCTCCGAGTACTGGTATTAATTTAAACAATGAAATGGACGATTTTTCTACTCCTGGAGTCATTAACTTTTATGGTATTCCATCCTCACCTGCCAATTTCATAGAGCCTGGCAAGCGCCCAATGTCTTCAATGAGCCCAACTATAATCACTGACAGAAAAGGAGACTTTGTTCTTGGGGTAGGAGCAGCAGGAGGATCGAAGATCACGCTTGCAACTGCCTACGTATGGTTTATTTAAGTTAACTATGATTAATTGTAATATTGTATGGTATTATAATCGTACTTATACTTATGACATTGATGATTTAATTTAGCGACTTGAAATATCACAAAAATTTATTTGACTTAAGGATTAAAAAAAATAATTATATTAATATCTAAAAGTATTTAAAAAGTAGTACCTATTCTGTGGTTTTTTAAAAATTATATATATTTATCTTATCGTAGAATTGAGAATGTAGATTAGTCAACGATTTATTATTAAAATTTATTTGATAATCTAGTTAATTATAATATAATTTAGATAATTGATGAACTTTATTTTTACATTATTTTATAGCTGCTTACATATAGGTGTAATGGCATTTATATATACGTTTTAATTTATTTTAAGGTGACAGCTCTTAAACTATGGTACAGTAAAACATTGAAAGAAGCAATAGATAAACCTAGAATTTATCATCAACTTATTCCCATGGAAGTTCAATATGAATACGGAACGACAAAGGTTGTTATAAAAATATTTAAAAATAGATAATATTTAACAAAACATATTTTTTACTATTTAACCAATAATTTTTCGATTTTTAGGCTGTGGTACAAACACTTAAGGATATCGGTCATCCAGTAAAAAGATTGAAGAATACCATAGGTTCAGCAGCAACAGCAATTGCCAAATCCCCTTCAGGAATGATCGAAACCATGCCAGATTTCAGGCGACCAGGAAATTCGTCCGGATACTAACACAATATTATTATATTGATAATAGATTATATTTAATAAATTTTTGTTATAAAACTTATCTTGTAAGTTCCTAAAAAGATTATAGTCACAAGTTATGTGCAGTCAATAATATGCACTGTAGTATAATTTCATTTAACCTGTTATAAATTATAATAACATTAATTATTTATGATAATTTGCAAGTGCTAATTTTTTATATAAAATGTATAATATAATATATAGGTATAATTGGTATAAATATTACTGCAAAGTAATTATTTTTATGAAAATATGAAGTCTATATATCTAAAATTTTAAATAATTTGAATTATTTTTAGCAATGAGGAGTCATTATATTAAGAGCTTGGTAACGCTAAATATTATTTAATATTATAAACTCACCGTTTACGATACTATATGAAAATAGTTTAATGATTAAGTTAGGTTCTTCTCAATTGTGAACAAAAACCCTGTATAAAATCAAAAATTGTGTAAATATTTTATTTGTTCATTATAAAAACTTGTATGTTATGTCAATACGTTTATTTTTTTTAGTTATTTCTAAAATATTATTTGTTTGAAACTATTGTATTGTTTTAATCAACATAATATGATCAGAGTTTTGACGATTAAAACAGTTTTAAAATTATAAATCATTTTACGTTTTCTAGTCAGTGTTCAAAAAAGTGTACCTGTAATAATTTAACTTCAGCCCGCTCGCACAATTTTCAATTATTTGCATTTATGTAACAATTTCACAAAATACGGAAATACAGTATTTTACAGTAAGTATACATAATTATTATTATTGATTTATAATTATTAATAAATACACAATGCTAAATAATGAAAAATATATTTATTTCATTGCCATATATTATTATTAACACACAATTAATATATTTATATATTTTATATTGATAAAGGAAATATATAATATTATTTAATTTTAATAAACTATACTTAGTTATATAATTCTGTGAAAAGCGTAGATACTAGGTACTATGTGTTTCTGTACTTGTAAATTCGTTTTTTTTTTAAATATATACACCATTACTTATTTTACTTTTTTTTTTTTATTATTATTTATCTCTACATGAAGGACTAACTGTTTTCAAATTGCTTAACCCTTTACTCAATTTACCTATAATGTCACGTTACACATATTTCATTTTAATTTAGATCATTTTTTTTTCATTAAATTTTAATTTAACAAAGTTACTAAAAAATTTAATTTGTTAATTTATAACTAACTTTTGAGTTAAAAAAAATCTTAAATTTATTTAGCCTTTGAAATATTATGTAGTAGTAAGTGAGTGTAATGTGGTTTATTTTTAATTTGTGTTTATTAAAGTGATATTATTTTATTTAAGTATCATTTGATTTGTTATTTTAAACATAAAGTAAAATCAAAATAATATTATTATAGGTTTAGAACATGCGTAGAATTAATTAGTTGATGGAATTTTAAAACTCGTTAGAAAGTTTTCAAGATAAGCAGAAAAAATTTTATTTTTCTAATGATATAAAAATATCAAACTATCTGAAAATATTAAGTATCTATCTGAAAAATTAAGTACTTTTAAAATCCGCTTTAAATCGTATAGTTATTTGGGGTGAATTTTTTGAGCTATATATAGTATTCTTTAATATTCCCACTAATTCTTTTCTTGTCTCTGTTGTTCTTTCATCAATTTTTCCTACAAGATACATATTATTTCTATTACATTTTTAGAATTCAATCCGTACGTGATAAGATTTCAATTTTGTTTGCTTGCTCTTAAAAACTATCAAAGGACTTAATCATTCGACTAATTCTAGAATATGTCAGTATCTTTAGGATCTCGATTCCACACGTTTTTTCTATGTCGGAGAAAGTCCAAAAGTCGTTCCTACTCACCTCTTATTTATCATTTTGAGACATTTGGTTTTTCTGATCTCAAGTCAATTTATTTTACCTTTCAAGTCCTTTTTCCTGCAAATTTTATACCCCAGCATTCATTTCTGTGGTTAGTTTCTAAATTTAGATATGCCATACACTCTAGATTTATTAAATAATAAATTAATATAGATGGCGTAGATTATTAAAAAATATTCATAAATAATATACTTGATGTTTGAAAGCTAGAATAAAATAATTGTTTATACACCGATACGGCGACACCTGTATATTATCATATACAAATTAACAAAATCAGATTTTTATGATCAAATAATTAAAAAACTTTAAAATGTTTGTATGATTATGTTACCAATCATTTATAAGTTACGTATCAACAGATTTATTTCATGACAAAATTTTTTTTTTTGATAAATTTAGTAAATAATTAGTTATTAATCAAAATAAACATGTAAATTGTATAGCTATAACCTATATACATAAAAAAAATTAAATTAAATGAAAAAAAAATCATGCCGTTATCATAATGAAGTATAAACCAATAAACATACTTATTTTATACTGTTAGTATAAAATACGGTTTGTATTACCATATTTATTCATATATACAACAGAGATTTCAATAGGGTAGTGCAGCGTTTCTCAAACTGTGCGTCGCGACCCACTGGTGGGTCATTAGTCAATTTTTGGTGGGTCACGAACAATTTTTTAAATTATACAGATTCCAAGAAATGTATGTCAAATTAATATTAAATATATTATTATGTTATATTATTATTATTAAAAGTACATTTGTAATAATATATTGATTATAAACTTATACAATAATAAAAATAATTATTTAAACTTAATAAAAAAAATTTGTTAAAAATATTGAAATATATTATATTATTTTAAATTTTTTTATTTTTTTATTTAACTACTTTTTAAAAAGTGAAACTATGTGAGTCACTAAAGATTTTTCGGGGGAAGTTTGGGTTGCAATTATAAAAAGATTGAGAACCGCTGGGGTAGTGTATTATTATTTTGTTTGTGTTATTACGTTTTATTTGGTTTTTACAGATAGTAACCATGAAGAGGAATACGATTGAAGCTAAAAAATTTTCCGGCTCAGTCCAAAGTCAAATTATTTTTATTCCCAAGATACCAATGGTTACTATGAATACCTGTTTGAATTTAAACGAGTCTAATTTGCTATAGGGTTTTGTTTTCTAGGTCTATCAATAATATTTTACTATTTGTTGATATAAAAATATTCATGCCAATCTATTAGTCTAATGATGCGACTTTCTTGTAAAATTATTTGGATCAATTTTCTATTAAATTAATATAGATGGCGTAGATTATCAAAAAATATTCATAAATAGTATAGATTCGATTTAAAACACAGATATATCTATGATTGTTAAAATACAATTAGTAAGTGTACTTGATTAGTCAAGTACACTTAATGCTTAGAAGCCAGTATAAATAAATTATTTAAGTATTTATACCAATATAGTATTATGAAGAAATAAACAAAATCGAAATATTTTTTTTATAATCAGATAACGAGAAAACTTTAAAATAGGAAATTGGATTTGGTAAACATTTTAATATTTAATAAAACAATACTTAGAATTACAACCTACAGTATAAAATATTTTTTTGGTATTTTAATTTTAACCAATGCTATTATTACTATACTTAAGTTAAAATTAATAAAAAATAAATTTAAATATTTTAATCTGTTTAAGAAACTAATTATTAAAAAATATAAGTAATTTACATAATATGAACTTTTCTAAGCATATTTTTATGATAATTTTTTTCTAGTTTTTTTTTATTATGTTTGTGTGGTTTTGTAACCAATCGTCTATAGGTCAGGTTTCAACAGTTTTATATAGTTGCATTAGTTATAATGATTTTAATGTAACTATGCATGTAAAGATGTTAATTGACAAAATCTAATTTTAAATACAAGAAATTGAAGTTTTTTGGTTTGCTTAATATATTAAAATCATTATTATTATACAAATGTATGCTATATAGTTTTTGAATTATTTTCAAACTAGAAGGTGTTTAGAATATTATAGTATTTAATATAATTGAAAAAGTGCACTAAGCTATAAAATATTTCTTGGAATAAGTGCATATACCAAATTACTATTTTTTTTTTATTATTATTATTCTTCAGCAGCTTATAGAAAGGTATAATTAAAAGCACTCTCTAGATTTATGATTTTTTTGATCATAAGCATTAATAATTTTTATAATACAAGTATATATTTTATGTTTGAACATAAATAACATTAGTAATACTCAAGCATACCTACTAATAGTTGTATTAAGTGTAATGTATGTATACTATAGTATCTTGATAATTAATAATTACCTAATTATTGCTTCAGCATACTAAATTTTTGCTGAATATGAGAGGGCAGTATGCTGAACATATCCTTCACCAAGTACTTTCCTAAGTTATCCATTGCAACACATAATTGTCTTACTGGATGGTTGTGAAGTCTTCTTAAAGTGATAAGTATTAAATATAATAATAGAGCTAGAAGAAATGCTAGTTTCATGGAACAATGAATTTTATAATATATAATTTTAATATTAAAAACACACATATAAACAAGTCGGGCAATTTAGATGGATTCATAATGAAATCAGTTTAAATTAAGAACGACTAAACTCGTAGATATATACTTATAACTACACAAATATATTTATTTTTTATTTTACCAAATTATTAATGAATTGAAAATGCATTAGTAGTTTTTCGGTTTTTTACTAATATTATATTAGTTATTACCAATGCATTATAAAAATTTAGTGTTTTCAATTTACATTACAACTTTCAATCGGTTAGATTACTTAGCCTAATAAAATTGAAAAAAATTATAAAACAAATTTAAATTTTTCGTCAACTTCAGATTGATTTCACAGTATTATATTTTATTTGATCATTCCAAAATTATAATTAGAAAATTGTTATTTTTATATATATTTGTTATTCATAATATTTAACCTAGTTACACAGTGCACAAATTTATTTTCATAGTAATCACGAGTTAATAAAAGATTAGGTATTAAGAATCTTATCTATTTGTGAAGTTTGTAGAGAAGACAATACAATATAATGTCAATTATAGAGCAGTCGAAAAGATTTTTGCGCATCCAGCATCGCCGCGAAGAAACCGGAAACGTTTTATGAATAGGGTATCATACCCACGTGTATATCATTGCATTGAGAATTACCGTTGCATATTAATTTCAAGTAATTACCTAGTATAAATATTATATTGTATGGTAGTAAAG